GCCGTGACGGCTCGTTGGATGGTGCAGGGACAGAGCCCATGAGCTGTTCGTCAGGAGCTGCTCCTTGGTGTTGGCCCAGCCACCTGCGACTGGCCTGGCGGGTGCCGACTGGGCGCTGCGTGTGTATGCTCCGGCTGGGTCCAGCCTGTGACGCCAAGGGCGTGCCATGGAGTAGGAAGCATGGGTGTGCACCTATTTCGATGTCCATCATATGTATGACATCGTAGCTGAGCAGAGCTGGTTTCAGTGGTTTCAGAATCTTGTAGATTGCACAAAGCCCCACCATGTCATTTAGATGGGTGTCCATATAAGGCACCAGACTTGGGGATTGTGCCATATACAGTTTCAGGAGTTTGTTGAATGCCTGGATTCCCGCCAGGTGCTCCAGCGAGGAGTGCTTCGGTTACATTGAAGAAGACAGCCTGGAAATCACGTTGGACAAAGTATGCATCCTTCAACCTTCACTTCAGGTGTACTGCAAGCATGTGTGGGGGGGGGTTGAGGTGAAACCTGTGCCCATTTGACTATACTTGAGTGGAGATGACCTGGACAACGAGACTTGCGATGCACATGATCAGAAAATATTAGATTTCTCCACGCAGGCCTTTTTCAGTTACCAAAAGTTCCCGCAACCGCATACTGCTTACGCCATCTTACGCCTACATCCAAGGCAAAGAGTCGGGAGCAGCCATGGTTGGAACCTCAGTTGCACCTTCGCCGTTCGAGCCGTCAAGACGACGTGAGGTCTGCCGTATCAGGTCTCTCGTCGGATGTCAGGCATTCAGGTCCACCTCACAAGGTCTATACCACTGCCGTTTGGGGCTCGGAGTCGAGCCACCCTATTCGCGTGTTCTGCAGCAAGAATCCAAGCAGCTGCCGTGATCCAAAAGCAAGTGGCAGTGAGCATGGGCCCATCTCCACTAAGATAACCGTGATTTGAGGATCCTTGATGGCCAGGCCATCTTTGTCCTGTAGCTGCGCTGCCGTGTTTCTGTGCTTGGTCGACGTTAGCACAGCAGGCTTGTTTCTAGAAAACGGTTTTGATCTCCATCAGCCTGAGACCGCTGCAGTCATTGAGACCGAAAGGTACACATACAGTCGTACAGTGTTTCATGAGGCTGAACCTGGAAAGCCACTGGGATGTGCCAGCCTTGGCATGACCATTATGTTTGAGATCAAGCATGGGCTGGGCACACGAGTGTGAGTCAAGAAGAACACCTGACTTTCCCTCAAATGCTGGGGTACCCCACTCACTCCTCTCCCAAAACAAAAAATCCTGTCGTAGATGCACATGTTTTGGAAAGAAAGCAGGACATGCAGCATGCAGGTGTTCATGGAGACAACCAACAAAAAAGAAGGTATTTAGTTTAGTGTTCAGTCTTGGTATCAGAATACAGTCTTAGAACACAGTAGAATACAGTACGTATCTTAGCATCTTGGCATCAGAACGCAGAATACAGTCTGGTGTAGTCGAGTCTTTGTTTGGAAGATACATGATTTGATTTGTAGATCAAAAAGCATCCCATTGGCCACGTGATGGGTGGCGTGAGCGCAGGAGCTCTCCGAATCCCAGCAGCGCGACATGGAGACGAGCGCAGCACGCTGCCAGAGCGCCCAGCAGCTTCGGCTGTGCAAGCAAGTGTGAGGAACAGTTGGCGCAGTGGCTTCCCAAATTCGATGGAGTGTTTTGAAACACAACCCTCCCGTTCCACTGCAAATGCTTCGCACCAAGCGGGACGTGAGCCCCGCAAGGCTTGGACGTTTTAGCTGCAAGCTTGGGTATCTTGGACCTCGAGGAGGCCTGTCGGATTTTCCTGTAGAGTCGTGTGCCCGAAGCTGAAACACCAGAGCCTGTAGTGAACCATGTGCGAAGCTTCAGGCAGCTCCGGAGGCACGGCAGAACTTCCAGGCCGTTGCTGATTTGGGCTCCAGCCTCAGCCCCGCAGCAACCTTGGTACAATGCCCGCTCATCCATTCTAACCAACTTCTGCCCTGCATCTTTGGGTGGCGTTGGGAAAGCTGTAAAGGTGCACCGTGATCTCCAATGCTTTGTCAGTAGATTGCGGAGTGAGGGTGGTTGGCCCAATCTCGATCAACAATTGCAGCTATAACATGTTATAACTTGCCTTTCTCTAAAAAAATGGTCCATTTAGCTATTGCCTTGCGGTCTTTGCACGATGACGGAAGCTTTGCCCCTTCCAGGTGATGTCGCCAGACTGGTGGCAGCCATGGAAGTGAATGCCATGACGGTCACTGATGAGGTCCACTCAAAGGGAGATCGTTTAACTTAGTAGCTGCATTCTAGCACATTGGGCTCAGTGGGCCTTCATTTTTGGATGTTTGCCACCTACCTTCACAATTTCACAAGGCCAACCCTCGGACATTTCAACCTTGGGAGGCTGAGGTTGTCACTTTGGGAAGACTGAGCCAGGATCCTTCAGACTCCTTGAGAGAGGGAGGCTTCAAACCCCTTTGCGAGCCGCTAGCCAGGAGTTGAGGGAGATAGCCCTGGGCTTGTACATCCATGCTGCCTGGCACTTGGTCAAAGTGGAGCAGTTAAGGACCCTCGCTACCACAGGGACTTGCATGGAAGTTTCATGTAGGAAGCAGTTGGTGCCATGAGTGATGATTTTCGCCAAGGCGGTCTTCAATCACGATGAGGACCAGTCTTTACCAGCATTTTGGAAGCGTAGCTCATGTTGCTTCTGGCTGGGTGAAGGCTTATTCAGTCGACTTATTGATTCAAGAGGTCTTAATTCTTTGGAATCAATAAGGATCAAAATGTCACTTGCAACTACCACGCAATCAGTTGGTCAACGCATACACTGTTTGGAGCTGCGATCCCATGCCCAACTGCCCAGCTTGTCCGTTCCCAAGCACTCCAGAGGAACCCAATTGCATTCAGAGCTTCGTGGGGCGCCGGGTGGTGATCCGCACCATCCGGGAGGTCTTTGAGGCACCCATCTTCAGATCATTTGAAAGGAAAGAGGATCTAGGGAAGGCTGAGGAAGTGTTTTTTGTTTGTGTTCTTCTCCTTGTTCTCTCCTTCTATTTTACTGTCGTCCTCTCCACACTTTGAACTTGATGGATCTTGATGATGAACCGTCGATTCCACGTCACGTGAACTCACAGAGCTGCAGGGCGAAGAGCTTTGCCTCGCCTATGCGGAGATTGGACAGTTGAGCCGCGTGCGTAACTTGCCAGAAAAGTCAAAGGACCCAGTTGACTAGTTAACTCAGATGGCTGCACGCATGTTAAGGACGCACTTCCTCGGATTCTGCGTTCATTCCTCTAAGGTCATGGCAACCTTTGGAAGCACTTCCATTTTCGGGCATTCAAGACGCCGCAGGCCATGGCAGAAGTGTGCGGAATAGCCACAGGAAACAAAGAAGTCGGGCTGTGAGTTTTCTTTGTTATATAGCTCAATGAGTGTGTTGTTGAATTTCTTGAAGGCAGGCTAGGTGAAATGCATCCAACAACTTCAGTCAACCAGTCTGCGCCTCCACAAAGTCGACAAGGTCGAGAAGCGCGACGGCATCTTGAGCTGCGTTCTGGCAGCGCCTGCCCGAAGCCAAGGTAAAAGAAAGCTAGAATTGAAGGATCCCAATGCTTCTCCACAGATAAATTCGTTTGTTGGTAACCTTTAGGTCGCTGTGGAACAGTTATGAGTTATGGTTGCACCACGTGAATCCAGCTAGGACTGGCAGCCCGTCGAGCACGGTGTTGGCACGTGCTCCCAGCATCAGTAGTCATATTGTGGCACATGCTTTGCTGACGATCTGATTGTTGTAAAAGCTTCTATGTTTTGGGGGTGTGGGGGCAGTGTGGAACATGCCACTTCTGTACATGTTGACGGAATCAGGTTGGGATCCTGACCAAGGAGTGCTAGAGGCAGCAGACCAATGGCATGTATTTGTGGCATGCCCCATGTTGCAAAGTTGCTTCAAGTTTGCTTGCTGTGGTGTGGTTGTGCCATGTTGTGCCAGCACTTGTGAGGAGAGGGGCGTTGTAACCCAGGCAGGGAGGAACCGTTGAATGCTTTCACAGGAGGGGGCTGCTCCTGATGCCTTAGCCTTCCTCAAAGAGGCCCTGTACTGCTGACGTGACGGAGCGACACGATGCATGTCTCGGTCAAATCAAATCCTCAAACAGTTTCCCGACTTGTAGATCTCCCACTCAATCTAGCCATTAGGAAGTGAGAGTTCTGAGAGCTTCGGCCCTGAAGATGTGCAACAGTTTGTCGAAACAAACACATCGCTCGCGCCTGGGCTGTTTCCTCACCGCTTTGGGATTCTTCCTAGCCGCCATTGGGCCGCCTAGCTCAAGGTATTTGGCGATTTCCGGTGAGGTCGGCCCGCTCGATGTGATTTTTTGTGGTACCCTGTGGTGGCCTCCCTCAGGTGCATCACTGCTGGTCAGAGGTCGTGAGCTCAGTCTTTCATCCCAAACTGGTGACATAAACGGATGACACAGCGAAAGAAGCAACGAAGCAGAAGATGCAGTAATGCTGCAGAAGGTGCTTGGCCGAACATCGTGCGAAACCAAACGTGTCACAAGCTACACGATTGAGCGCAATGCAAAGATAACTGTTTGCAAAGGGTAGCAAACAGTCAAAACGTAACATGCCAAACAGAAAGCATTAAACTCTGACCATGTCTGAGAGTGGTCGTTGGTGGGGTTCAATATTACTTGACCGAGCGCTGACCTGATGTGCCTCTTTTGGTGCAAATGAGTGTAGTGACGTGCTGACAGAAGTCCTACTTACAAGGCCGCCTGATTGATCCTGATTGAAAGCTGAATAGCGGAAGCCTTTGTAGAGGAATCTCCACGGACTCCAGGTTGTCATATTCTTTAGCTTCCTGTTGCTAGTAGTAAGAATGCTCCTAGTAGCGATGCCAGGAGCCCCTAGTAGCATCCTTGCTCCTAGTAGTAAGGCCAGGAGCCCCTAGTAGCTTCTTGTTTATAAGTGGTTTTTTGATGTTTTTTGCACACTTTCCCCGCACCAGTATGGTTGCAATATTTGCTGCATGACGGTAGGGTTCCGCCTTGTAAGCGCCATGGCGCCAGCGGAGCAGGATGTAGATGCCATAGCTTTGCAAGAGGCGGGGGGCCTGCGCTTCGTGGCACAGCATTTGGACGTCGTGCGTCGTGCCATAATGAATAGGGAGGCCCCCAAGCAATGGGATTTAGATGGGTTTAGTCAAGTTTAGTCTATGTTTCTTTTTCCAGGCAGTCTTTGGGAGTCTCCTTTTGTCAATCCAAGCTTTGTTGCTTTGGCTGAAGCCGGATATGGGTTGAAAAATTGTGCTTTTCTTGGATGTGGATGGTGGGGGCACAAAATCTAGGAACCAAATGCACAGAAGCGTGAGCCATCCTCCGTAGGTGGTAGCGGCTAGCCCTTACTTTCACAATATATATGTGTATATCTAGGTATATATGAGTTTTATATAAGTGGGCGCCTAGCTAATTGCAAGAAAAGCAGATCCCGTCCTAACCTCACTAGGATGGTCTCATTTGTGCTGATGGCCGGCCTTTGACGGGTGAACTGGCGCGAAGCGCTGGAGTCTTTGGCGGTGGACCCTTGTTGGCGGCTCCTCGGATGGAAGATGAAAGAATCAAGACTTTAAGAAAAAACATGAAGGAACTTACTAGCGATGGCCTCCAACCTAATAGCACTGGCCTCCAGAGATCATGATGTAGGTTGGAGATGCTTGGGGTCAGCAGCACCACTGAAACTGGGACTTTGCGTGCATGTCTGGAGCCTTTAGCCTCAGGGAGGTTGTGTGTTGAGGGTGGTGGAGTCTTGGAGAGGTTGCGTACTTTGAGCTTGAGTTCTTCAATCACAGGTGATTGAAACCTCTGTGCACGAAAGATGACCACACATTTGGTGCAAGAGCGTTGCTGCCTTTGCCAACTAAGCGCCGAGGCTGTGCAAAAGGCGCGGCTGTTCAAGGACGCATCTTGATTGGGGGTGGTCCAGGTTGGTCGTGATTGGCCCATGATGGTGTTGGGTTTTAGGCCATGGTATGGCCATGGCTTGAGGACTCCAAGCATTTCGTGGACATGCCGCTGAAGGAGGATCCTGAGATCGTGCTGGCGGAGTTCGAACGCTTGGAGAAGAAGACAGAGAAGGACACTTCTTTGAGCAATGCAAGTTAGTGCAAGCTTTTAGATTCCTTTAGCGTCCTTTGCTGTGGGAGGTTCAATGATACTAGTAAAAGAGACGCACCCAGTTTATTTATACATCTAGTACTCTATAGTGATAGTCAGTCGAATGGAATAAGATACAACGTGTTCCTCGTCCAAGCGCATGATGTATTAGATGTTGTTCAACAAGGTGAGTTGGGGGTGATAAACCAGTTGATCTCTTCTCACTTGAAGATCTTTAAGACCCATTGGGGCCGGCCCATCCAAAAAATTCACTGCCTTGCTTAGCCCACAAGACACATGCATCAAGATGCCAGTCACATGCATCAGGAAGTTCTGAGGAGCTTCGTGGAGAAATATTTCGAAGACGTGGGCAGCGACTTGGATCCCTGGTCGCCGAGCGACTTCCAGGAGTCTCCACCGTTCCTGGCTCATGTGGAGGAGAAGCGAAAGGCCTGGGCGAAGGCCTTGAACGGCCTTTGGGCGACCTTGGGCCGAAAGAGCAAGGCACACAGCCAGCAAAGATGTAGCTCATTGCCACTGCGAAATCCCACAATTGTGCCAGGCAGGCAGGGCGCCAGGGCGAGTTACAGCTTGAAACAGGGAGTCGAGTCATTCATGGTGGACGAATTTCCAAGCAGAACCTGCAGCTGTTGTTTTTGGACGCGTGATTTTTGTTTTTTAGATCTTCTACCTCTCGGATGACATGGGAATTAGAAAACATACATGGGAACTCAAACATTCCCAAGTGGTCTACCTTACCCCCCTTGTGACAATTCCATGTCATCCGGCAAAAAAAGAGCCTAAAAGGCCCAAAACAAGATAATGCAAGGTTGCATTACCAGATTGCCCAGGCAACCCAATACAAGGCTGCTCTTTAAACTAGTGGCTTGGGATTGCTGTGGAAGCCCTCTAACTCCCATGTCACATGCGAAGGAAAAGCAAACCAAGAGGTGTGCATGTGTGCATGAAAGGTGTGCATGGGTATGCATGCAAAGGTAAAAAAACCGTCATTTTTTCCTCACGGTTATGCGCCAATACGTCTTTGACGTGACATATATATACAGGACTTACTTACTCTATTCTTTATGTCACTTGATGCCTTAACTCCCATAGTTGTTTTTGCTACCACTGTCGCCAGGGGGGCGCTTTTTGGAGACCTACTACTGGGATACGTTCTGGGTGATCCGTGGGCTTCTGGTGTGCAGCATGGTGGAAACAGCCAAAGGTGTCATCGGCAACCTGCTAGAGTCTTCTTGGCATTGGCTAGCCGGTCTGATGTTCATAGATCTTTGCATGCACCATCATGCATCCCTTGCAATTTGTAGATTGTGAGATTAGTCAAGTCGCAGTCCTCAGTCCTTAAGGACTTGGTGAAGGACTTCGGGTTCATTCCCAATGGCACACGGGTTTACTACCTGGATCGCTCACAGCCGCCCCTCCTTACAGATATGGCCATGGCCATTTTCGATGTCACGGGCGACAAGGAATGGCTGTCTCAAGCGGCTCATCTTGAAGGGCACTTCGGGTTGCTATGTTAGCAGGTTGGCAACATGCATGTTTTACTGACCAGTTTGGCTTGGAGTCGTCTCAGCTCTCCCCAAAAACTACCCTTACTACCCTTGTGTGTACTGCCGATCGGCAAATTAGTACCGTGGAGTGACATTAAGACGCTGCGCAACCTGTGCATTCAGAAGCTGAATGAAATTTGTACAGCCAGAACCACTACCTCAATCGTGCTTTGTGATCTCTACTGTGCTCTTTGAGCGCCACGAGCTGGAGGTCCTACCACTGCTGATCAAAGAATACAACTTTTGGATGAGCCCGGAGTCAGGTCAGGTAGCACCATGCCCAGCATTTAGAGTCGAACAAGTTTTGAGTTTTCCGGGCTGCGGCCAGGTTGAAGCAGTACCTTCTCGGGAAAGTGTGTCGGGCCTGGGAAGGCTGATTCACGACCTGATTCAAGACCTGATTGTGCTTCTGGGTTAGAATAGGTTCCCCCCACGCTGTGACAGATAGTCATTTTGCCTTGCACTCGATCGCGCTCATAAAGCGTCAACCAGTTTTGCGCAGTGTTGTGCTTCCCCTACCGATACAGGAATCATTGTGGATCAGTGAGGCACTTTGTATCAGAGGACGTCCATTGTCCTGAGTGGTTGGAATCACCGCTGAGGTGCAACTGGAGATCTCTGGAGAAATGAGACACTTCAATGTCTATCACTCCCAGCGAAAAGGGCCTCGCCCTGAGCCTTGGTGTGGTTTGGATCCAGGGGCCCACTCTCCTCAGCCCTGAGCACAGGATTAGAGAGGTGTAGGCCATGCACCCTCAAATGTCGGACCCTCAGGCTGTTTGCACAGCGCGGCCTCACGCGCGGTCTCACGCGGGCCCAAAAAGCAAAATTCCAGAAACCAGGACCCACAGAAACAGGCCCAAACCCCAAACCGACCGCCGCAGCGTGGGCCCGCCCAAAGAATATGTAGAGCCATTCATGTCCTCTCCAATGAGGAGTCGTACTTCGAAGACTTGGAAACGGCCCGGTCTGCCCGCCGAAGCCTCAGTTTGTGGGAAAATCAGCTTATGGATGATCTATCCCTTTCTTTGAGCCCTACCATGCCACACCCATACTCCGGTACCGACCCTTGAGATCATGGTTTAACTAATCCACTTCACGAATCCTTCCCCCCAAGAAGTCTGCCCCAAAGCTGGCAAACCTTGCAAAGAAGCAACTTCCTTGACTTAGCATATCTTCGACTTGGACTCCGCGGAGTCCCAGGTGAGTCTGGCTTGGAGCCAAAGAGCGAAGAAGTGTCGCTTGGGCGATGGAGTTCAGACCAGGTTGATGAGGAGACAATGTGACGTTGGGAGCAACATGGGTGGCAACGTGAGGAGGATCCGATTCCCTTTCGATCCAGTTTGGTCCATGGATATCCATGAATCAGATAGAAATAAGGCAGAGATGGCGGTATACTTCAGAGTCTGGGTGAGATCGGAATCCAATCGGGTCGCCCTTGGAGGCCTCGGTGTCATGGCAATGCAGGTTCCAGGGGCTGTGTGCTGGAGCGGAAAGTGGCTGGGACTTTTCCACCAGATGGATGGATGACAGCAGCTTGGCTATGAAGATCTATGAAGCATGAAATCCCCAAGAGAAATTGGGATTTCTGAGAACCTTCTCGCTTTCGTACAATTTAACACTCTAATGGCTGACCATGTTTGGTTTACCCCCCACACTTTTCCTTTCGTCTTGGAGCAAACACACACACACACCAAAAGAAAGGCTCCGATTCTCGTGGCAGACAAACTCATCAAGCGTCTTTGCCAAGGTGACGAAAAGCGCTTGTCAGAAGCCAGGTGTGACTAAATTGAGTTTCGGAGTGACCTCACCTGGCGCGTTGAGTCACACTCGCCATAGGCTCCATGACATGTTCGAGACTAGAAGCAAAACATGTCATGGCAAACCCGGCACACCGTTTGCAGTGATCGAACGCATTTGCAGGTTGGAAACGATCAAGACGCTCCTTGACTTGCCAGTTGCCGGAGGGTTGGCTGCGGAAACGCTTTTCAGGTTCCTGTTTGGGAGTGTGAAACCTAGCTGGGCAGACACCCCTGCATGTTCAGTCAGATACTGTACTTGCTTGCACTTGTTTCCACCTACCTGTGACGTTGGTATGTGGGGCTTAGCTTGGCATTTTGCAGCTAGCTAAGCGGTTTAGAGGCGCCGTCGACGCCGCTGGTTACCAAGTGGTGCCGACGGTGCCAAGGCATCACATCGTTCCCGTGGACTTGAACTGCTTCCTGGTCCGGGCAACATGGCGGCAATGCTTCGTCAAGCTAGTAACAAGTGCATCGCTACTAGTAACAAGTGCCTTACTAGTAGTAACAAGAAGCGAACGTAGAAACAAGTGCCTTACTACCTGGTGTGTCACGAATCGTGTCAGTTTGGTGTCGGACGGATGTCAGACTGGGGATGTCATTCAGTTTCCAAACACAATTGTGCGCAGAATCAAGGTCCTCCCTCCATTCCCGGAGCTCAATTCGTTTCAAGGTGATTCCAGCCCAGCTCATTTCACAGATCTCAGGTGGAGGAAGGCCTTGCCCGTGCCCATGACCTGTTGGCGCTACTTGGCAAGCCGTGTGGCCACACCATGGCCGAGCCATCGGCGTGGATCCAGCATGAGGCAACAGGATTTGGGGATGCCCTCCAAGTCGGGACATGAACTGAAACTGATGGACTTCAGTTCTAGCCAAAACACATCAAGGAACGAGAGCGGCGCCCAGAAGTACCGGGATGCGGCGGCCAAAAGGAAGAAAGACATCGACACGTGGCTTTTGAAGCATGCGGGGTGGGTTCATGTGGGTTCCTGGTAGTCCGGGTACGAGACCGGAAGCAGACATAACAAGGCTCACCATGATGATTACTGCTCGGTATGACGTAGCTGAAAGAACTAAGAACCATTTAGGTTTGGGATGAGGTGGGCTCCGACAAGCATAATCAAATCACTTAGATCATTGGATTTGATTGACCATTTCACCCAGGAGGAGGTGCTTTGGAATGATGTCACGAAGTGCTATCACGACTACCGACTGGACAAGGGCCGCTTCTCGAAGGCTCGGCTGGTTATATAAGTCCGGGATCGTGCAACTTTAGCCCGGTACTTGAAGTGCTTCTCACACTGTACCCTCCGAGGGCATTGGCTAGGCTAAGAAGGGTCTGGGGCCATAGCCCGGTTACCTCACGGACTTTGTACAGGCGTCAGCCTTTTGCAAGTGCGACTCGACCAGGGCAAGCTCGACATGTGGTCCGTTAGTGAACAGGGCGAGAAAGTAACTTAAGTTATTAAGGCATCCCGCAATCTATCGGGTTCAATCTATCGGCTTCTTTGTTTCAATGCTGCAGATAGCAAGTCACCCTGCCTACGTCACCCTCCGATCATTCGGCGTTGATTGGAGGTGATTGCCCTCTCCAACTGGGCGGCACCGCTCTGGGCAGGGCTTCAGGGTCATGAGGTGCAGTTTTGGACGCAGCGAGCGGTGCAGAGTCCAACGGCAGCGTAGGGTTGCTCCAGCTTGATGTCACTAGCAACTGATATGAGCAACAACGGTATATCTTATATACTAGTAGCGTCCTTGTTACTACTAGTAAGGCACTTGTTACTAGAAGCGATGCACTTGTTCCTAGTAGCATCCAATATATATATATATATGAGCAACCACTTTTATTTGGGCTTTACTAAAGTAGTCTACGGCATGCTCTAGATGCTTGTCTACCATTGTCTACCATCAGCATTCGCAAGCGATACTTTTGCTTGATGTCACTAAAGTAGTTTGAACGAGATACTGTGATTTGCTACTAAAGTAGTCTGAACGAGATACTGTGACATGACCTCCTGCTTAAGTAGTCTAAACGAGATAGGGCCCCACATAAGAGATAGTGTTTTTGAGCTACTCCGCTGGGAAAATTGATGAGGTGACTTTTTTTTTTATTGCGCCAGGTTTAGGTATCAGGGGCATTCAGGTGTGTTGCGCCATCTATGCGCCCCGTGGCTTAAAAAACAGGAAGATTCTGCATGATTTTGTGCGCTATTTTGCAGAAAATAGCGGAGATTGGGACCGCTCCATCTATTGCCCCACCGCAAAAGGACATCAAAAGGAAATGAATAAGTTCAAGAGGCAAGAGGAAATCAAGAAGAGATATGAGGAAATCACTATTGGTACCGGGCCACACATTTTTTGCTCAAAGGTCTCTTCTTCACATTATAGCCAGATTGCAGCCGGCAGGCCAAATGTACAGAACTTGGACCATCTATAGGCCCCAAACGTTTTTTGGGAAATAGGGAAAACTAGTATCCGCACAGACACCCCAAAATTTTTTTCTGCAATCCAAAGACCAGTTGCGCCATCTATGACGGCCAAATAGCGAGAAAAAGGAGTTACATGGCGCGGCTGTTCCCGCTATTTATTTTTTTGAGTTGACCGGTGTAAATAAAATGTGTATGTGCATATTTGTATGCGCCTTTGGAATGCTATGTATCACCCCTTTGCCACTCCGTGGGCAAAAGATATTGCATCATTGGTGGAAGGGACTCAGTGGACACTTGTCAAGAGCTCGACTCCATTGGAGTGATTGAAACTCAGGCGTAGCTTCCTTGAACCTCTTGAAAATGGCATACATGGGGGAGCTTTCCCTAACAATCCCTAACATGACGATGACTAGCCCCTATAAATCGTGCCCGAAAAGGGGCATGAAATCCCAAGATGATGTACACCAGTCATCTAATCCCGTCACTAGTAGCAGGGACGTCTCTATCCACCAGGACCTGCCTGGACCTACCACCCTCCAGGTGGAAGCCTTCCTCACCAGCCTTCATGCCAGCGGTTTGCTCCAGACCGGTGGCGCGGCCACCACAGCTGTGGTCACTGATGGCCGAACACAGATGCTTGGCGCAGGGGGCCAGTTGATGTCGGCGGTTTGGGGTGATACGGTGACGCTCGTCGGGATTGTCCCAAGAAAAAGAGACAGTGACTCTTTGGTGTGATTGGATGTGTCGACCGTTTGGGGAAGACGTTCATGTGGACCTCTCGTGTGCCGAATTCCAGTGAAATGTTGAAGAGAACAGTTGCAATTAGGTGGGATGCGCCAAATGCATGGCCACCACTGCAGCACATGCTGATTGAAGGCTGGGAGCACTGCTGCAAGTTCCCTGCAATTCTGTGGAGCACTGCTCACAAACTGGAATGTTTCATCACCGAAGCAACTCTTGACAGATTGATCACTCTCTCCAAGTTGTTCCTGACCCTTTCTATGTTTGTGCCTTGTTGAGTTTCGAGTCATCACATGTCCATCCACAGTTGAGGCACCACCTGTTGAGAGATCTCCGCGCGCTGCAGGCTTGGAGCGCTTGGGCAGCGTCGCCGCAAAGGACTTGGCACAAGAGATGACAGAGCGATGGCTGCAGAGCTGCCAGATGGCCTGGGAGAAGTCAGGTAGCTTGGTAAAGCTTGGTGTTCTCGGCGACGAGTGAGGGGTTAAAATCTGAGAGAGATCGACTGGTTCGTTGCAAGAAGAGATCAAAGATACTTGAAATTGTGGTTCCTGTGGTTCTGATACTATTTTGACTGACAGGGGATGCCTCATGCAGATTCCTTTTGAATTGTTGGACTAAAGCCATGACAGTGCTTGACTCACCCATGAGGCTTTATGTACGAGAAGTACAATGCTTCGAAGCCAGGAGAAGGTGGTGGAGGTGGTGAATACGAGCCACAGGCGCCTGCTTAGCCGCGCCAGAGAATAATAAAGCGGGGAAGGGTGCTGGCCAGAGGACCTACGAGATCCTACGAGTGAATAATACATGGCTTGCAGGCCGCAATGTGTCAGCTCACAAGGAGGACTGTGAGGACTGCACCCGGGCCTTCTTCTATTCGCAGGTCGGCTTCGGTTGGAGCAACGGTGTTGCCTTGGTGCTGTTGGCGAAGCACTCAGGCTGCCAAGAAGAGACAAGGCGTGTGACAGAGTGCGCGTGTTGTGTAAATGCGTGCTTTGGCCAGGCCAAAGGATGCAAAAACCATTGGCAGAAGCCAGCACAAACCCATAGTCACACACACACATACGTATTTCTGGCCTGCTATGGATGTCGACAATTTGCTTCAGGCATCTAGGAGTCAGTCACGCACTGGGCTTCTCGGTAGTTTAGCCTGTCCTGAGGAGGTGCACCCTGAGCTGACCGAACCGCCAAGCTGAGTCCGCCTCCGCCACGCTTTCGTTTCGCCACTGCGGGTGGAGTTCAGTAGCCCTGAGCTTGATCGAACATCGGGGCCGAAGTTGGTGGCGAAAGGTGCCAACTGTGCATCGGGGCGTCCGCCTCCATGAAGTCTTTTTAACCACCCCAAAACACGACAACTTTGCAAGGCATGAGAGGCCACAGACCTCCACCTAGGTCTCTAGCTTCGTGCGATTTGCAGCTTGGAAACGGGCCACCCTCCCAAAGAACCAGACATGGAGAATTGATGAGAATTGCGGATAATCGAGGACCAAATTACAACAAAGTACAACTGGCCACACTCGCTGAAGTCCTTCTGAAGGACCCTTTAGCATTTTTAGCATCACACGTTGCTGCGGTACAGTGTGAGCGATGATGAAGCACATTTGAAGCTCAAAAGACGTGCTGATCCATTCGCTTCATGCTTGGACCACTGCATCTCTCGAACCCTCTCGAAGGCAAGACGAGAGATAGACTTGCTTTCAGTTTTGATGCGCAACTTTCTGTTTCTGGGACGACCGCCGGGCCAAGGCCAAGTGGCAGAAGGCCTGGAAGGAGGCAACCGCAGGCGAAGCGGGCGTTCAACAAGCAATTTGAAGAAGTTCCTCCGACAGGAGGTTGATGGAGGTTGGGGCCTGATCCAATCCACATTCTTTGAGCCTTCAGCATTGGCTCCTATATAATTCGCGCCCTCTCTCTCTCTATATATACACATATACACACACTGACACAATATATATATATATATACAGTCATTAATTAAATTATGACATTTGGAGATCTGATATGGTACGTGCGTGGGGGTGCCTTTTCAATGTACTGTACTTTGGATAATGGCTCAACATGTTCTTGCAGGCCCCACCTTCCGGCTTGGCGCAGGCACCGTCATGTCCGTGGGGAGAGGTATATGAATTATAAAGGGCACAAGCTTCAGAGACCATTTCCGGCTGGATGCTTTGCAACAAGCTCAGTCCCAAATTCTTGACCACGCCCTGTTTGTGGTGGCTACGAGTTACTGCTTCTCGTCACCCGCAGGCCATGCCCTTCGCTTGGCGCTGGCGCGCCGGAGCCTCAGTAGACCGCTGACCTTGGCTTGTTGAAGCTTGGCAAGTTGTAGCCAAAGGACCCCAAGACTAGTGTAGACTTTCAATGACTTAAACAAGCAACCTGCAGGCCATCTATGCAAAGCCCATGCCATGTAGGCCCATCCATTCATGGCCAAAGCTGCTTCGCCCATTGAGGGCGCTCCATGCGTTGCACATCTTCTGCCTTCAGTGTTTGAGGTGAACTCATGGACGAGGCGGTGTCACAAGAGCAGTGGTCAGAAGCGCTGGCCAGGGGCTCCAGAATGGTGCAGACCGCTTTTGGATAGGTGCCAGCTTGGATCTGAGATGTGCTCAGTAGATGGATCTTGGCCAAGGCTTGTTGACCAAATGGGGCCGTGCGAGGGCTTTTCAGCTCCACACCACTTGACCGTGAGGCGTTTGCCCGGGAGGTGTGCTCCTGCCACCAGCTGGCAAGCATCCAAGTGCTGCTCAGTGCCCGTCAGGGGTGAGACACGCACACACCGCAAACAGTGCGACACACACACACACACACACAAGCACATATACGCATTGCTCAGATCTACCCCAGTGGCTGGCCAGTGGTTTCGCTGGGCTCAATCCTCAGATTGCTCAAGACAGACGAGATGGATGATGTCACCATTCGGTGTGGACGAGGTTGGGCACGATTGGCGAAGCTGGAGCTCTACCATGGCCATTTCGACGGATCCTCAGATACCAGAAGCAGAGAAGATCTGGGATTTGCGGAGAATGTGATGTGATGCACAATTTGTTTTATGACCTTCCCTCATGACCATCCCTCCTCATCGAGCATCGCTGGTCTTCGAAGTTTTCTCGATCGCTTCCCGAAGACCGACGGATCGTTGCAACGGTTTTTTTTTTTGCGTAGGAACAAGTGCCACGCTAGTAGTAACAGGTGCCTTACTAGTAGTAACAAGAAGCTACTAGGGGCTCCTGGCCTTACTACTAGGAGCAAGGACGCTATTTGGGGCAAAGGGTTCGAAGCTGATGCGCTGCAGGATGCCACGATGCGGTGTTGCCAGGAGGCGCTCTCAGGCGGCTGCACCGGCTGGCATTGAACCTTGCCTCATTTTGCACCAAGTGGCGCACAGGGAGTGGGGGTGGTTGTTTACATGGTACCATGTTGGATGTTGATACTTAAGTCAAGGTATGTGTGTGACGTGTTTTTCCGATGCAGCTTTTGCTCAAGCTGAACGCTTATTAAAATTATGAAGATAACAATGGCCTGCACTGCAGAAAGTTTAACAACATGTTTGGACAGTACCTGTTACCTAAAGCTGGAGTAAAGAACAGAATCCAATCCAACAGTATCGTTTTGTCAACCATTCTGACAGTGGTTGGCCTGTCATGACGGAATTGAGCCTTGGAGCACTATTGAGGGCTTGCTGGGTTTGCTTGATGCAAGGTTGTCATGCTTATGTAAGCCAGGGCAAGCCAAGCAAAAGTTATATAGTTGTTAGAAAGCATCATGGCTAGCAATGGCACACTGTTTGCATATGAAGGCTTCTTTTGCACAGCTTGCGACCTTGCTACGAGGAAGATCACTGCTAAGAAGGGCACCGGCTTTTACATCCGCGCTGCCGCCACCTTTTTGCGTGGCACGGACGAGAAGCCACCCGTACCGTCAGTGATCCTGAGCGGTGGCTTGGCAGCGCTTTTGGAGGATTTCTTCCAAGACATTAGCAGTAGGGTCAGTAGGGCCGGAATGGTAGTTTCGCTCAGTAGTACATTTACATTAGTGTCTATAGTTCAACTCTATTCGATCTCTCAATTGTCCTTCCTCGTTTGTCGATTTGCCGGAATGCCACCTTATCTTATCGACATACCTGATCACACCTCATTGCCAGTTGTTTCTTGTTCCTAATTAGTACCAAGGCCAGGAGCCCCAAGTAGCGTCCATGCTCCTCGTAGCGATGCTATAGTCCTGGTCCAGGGTGCTGTCCAAATGTTTTGAGGTGCTGCCCGGTGCTTGTTGCTGCATTCTTCATGGGAATGCAATTTGCCCCGGGGAACACTGAGGCACAGGCTCTGCTACCACCACCGTGGTCGAGACAGCTCATGCCATTCAAAAGCAGGGCTTGGCCAAAATCACTCGAGTGGAGACGGGATATCCGACCACTGGTGGTCAATCTACGGCCCGATTAGCCGTGACGCTCACCGCTGATTGGCCCTTCCCAGATCCCAGCAGCTACTGCCACTTGTCCTCCAGGTCCGGAAAGAAGGGCGAGCCCAAAGACCCACGGTGAGGACGAATGAAAAAGCAAGTGATCGAGAGGGCCCTGAATCTGAAACCTTTGGTGAAACAGTCCTCTCGGGCCTTGAGGGCTTTGGCAAGGAGGTCGGTGGATGTGGTCGTTGGATGGATGAACTCTAGACTGTCTAGACTCTAAACTGGCTAGTGTCATTTCAGGCTTTCCAGATCCTTCATGCGAGGCAACTTCGATGAAGTTCGGGTAGAAAGCTATGCCTTAGATCTGGAGATGCTCGCATGCAGTGGGGCGTGGTTCGGAAAGGGAGTGTGGGGATGAACGTGAGATGTCGGTGTTTGCTGACTTTGGTGTGTAGAGTGTGTAGAGATGAAAAAGCAGCAAGTCCATGGTCAATCCACTGTCATGATGCCCAGGATCAACTTTGAGAAAGGCATTTTGCAGGGCTCCATCGAGCTTGAGCTCTTAGCCATTCAGGACGAGAAACAGAGATTGTTCAGTGAGCTGGTGACGAAGGGACTGCCCCACTGCAGAGGTTGCTCGAACCCCCCTCCAAACCATGAAGTTTATGTTTTTTTTGGGTGTGTGTATATTTTAGGACAGCTCACGTCCGCAAGTCAAGATCTGTGCACAGTTGGCACCAGCCAACAAGTAAGTGGTGCACTGTTACCGCAGATCGAGGATGTACTGATGTGATTGCTCATGCTCAGAAAGAGAGATACGATGGCGCGACTCTTCTGAAACCCGACCATTTTGCTCAAAGTCTGGAGCACTGCTGGCGGAAGCAACCAAACAATCGTGTGCATGAGAATGAGCAGCTGTTCGATCAGCCAGTCAAGGCCCAGCTCCCGCCCAGTGATTCCGAGCGACTGGGCCAAGCAGGTGCCTTTTGACCACATTGAGGAGGGGGTGTTGAACATGGCAGCTTTCGTGACCGACCTTCAAGTGATCAATATGGCTACGGGTCAAAACCGGGAGACATTGGTTGACCCATCAAAATGAAGAGAACGGACTACCTGGGAGGTCAACCCAGAGTTTTGAAGCTCCAGGTTTGGACCCACACCCTGGAACCGGCTGCTGGATGCAATGGCGATAGAGAGGGCCACGAAGTGTTGCACAACAGGCTCACAGACCTCGGCCTTTATGAGGCAGTTCCGTACTGTTCCACGGCGCGCAAGAAGGAACTGGTAGTATCTGGTGGTGACATATATATTTAGTGCAGATGGAGCCCTGCAATGCCTGCACTGCCAGCAGACCAAGATGTCCCAATCGACAGAGCAATTGGACTGGCTGGTCGTAAAGTTCTTGAGAATGAGTTTGGCAAGAATGGCGGAGTGACCTACAGCTGTATAGCACAGCTGTGGAAAAGCAACATTTGAATCTGGGTGCCCAAAGGCATGAGCTGGTAGCCACCCTGCATTATACCCAGGCCTTGCCATACGTCGGCTTGAGACTGCACTGGAGAGAGATGTTCCAATCATCGCCCAAACAAGTCGTCCAGCCGAGCTGTTGACCACAAAATAACCCTTTACCAGAGAGTCCGGATCTAGTTGCTTCTTGCTCCTAGTAGAAAGGCACTTGTTACTAGTAGCGATGCACTTGTTACTAGTAGCTTCTTGTTACTACTAGTAACATCTAGTAACTATATATAGTTTCTTTTCAGATGTCATGACTCTCACAGGAGCCGAGTTTGAGTGCCTCTACCTCGGCCCTAATATACCCCATGACGTCCCACCTGGTGACCGACCACAAAACATGCATTCTGCATTCTCCTTTTCCATGCGTCCCCACTCATTCGTGAAAACCTCCCGAAAGAACTTTGGACCCGTGCAGGGTTGGCATGTGGCACAGCCCTGGGGGAGGGTTTAGACTTGTCCTTGGGACGACCACACGACACCGTAGCTACCAGTGACCATCAAACTTCGTCCACCGGTCCCCTATCCCAGGCCACTGCGCTCATCATGTCACCCAATGTGTCAGGAGAGCAGCCGGTTGGTGTTGGACACCCGTAGCCTAAGCATCAGCAGAGTGACCGCTGACGGGGCCAGCGCTAGCTTTCAGTTGGGAAGTGCAGGCTGGGGCCATGGGACTATTGGTCCTATGATGTGTGACAGATCGTCCTCAGTAACTCCAATGAGGGCGAGCGTTCCCCATGTTTGATGAGTTTAGTTGGGCCACGGGCTGTGGCCCGCGCCTCTGTGTGATGTGCTTGCAGAAAGCTGCCTCACTGATGTTTGGAACCCAGCTTCCAGCAGAGAAATGTGTCAAAATGCGTTTAAATAATGACTGAGCCCTGGAACCTGAAGCCTAACTCCACAGTAGGTTTGTCCCTATGATATACATATGGGTCTAGGACAAGCAACCGCTAGCTAAACAAAAAAACCGCTACCGGACCCGGACTGGACCGGACCGCCGCCCGAAGCCTTGCCAGGCCGAAAGTCTGAAGCACTGGGGGAAGCTTTAGAGATAGAACTGCCGAAGACGCTCAGAGGCACTGCAGGTGCGAAGGCACTGCAGGTGCGAAGCATCTCCAAGAAACACTTTTTGTTTTGTTTTTTTTTGGGGGGTGGGGGGCGCGCCTTGGGGATTCTCCCAAGCTTCTCACGGCTCATGAGTTAGTAGGCGCACTCGAAAGCCCAAGGACGATGTAGAGAGGGCTGCAGCCGAGGATATCGGGAGAAGAAGCATGAAAGAAAGAGTAAAAGACAACAAAATAGTCATCCCTCCAACCTCGCCATGAACAGTGGGAGCAAGGGGTTTGCACTGGGCATGGCTGCTTATCATACATGCCGACTCTAATAATAAATCTTTTTAAAATTGGAGTGGCTTTTGTATCCGTCGGCCTGCCAGATCAACAAGTGTCATGACTTAGTGCGCCATACTTCTCAACAATACCATTTTGCAAGTTAACATCGCGAAAGTATCGCGAAAGACATGGTTGAAAGGGGTTGCCCGGCAGATGCCATAGGAAGCTGTCACCTGGCGAGAAGGCCAAAGTGCACATCGAGTATGCCACAGCTCCAGACACTTGGACCGGAAGCAGTTACTCAGGTAGCCTCCCTATGTTCGTCCGTTGGATGCGGATAGATATGACGCGCTTTGTGGTGTCTTTACAATGTTGGGAAGGTGTTGGTGCTTTCTGTAATACATGTCATTTGTCTCTGTCATACCAGCTGCTTCAGGATGCGGTGGCAATACAGATCCTGTCTCCAGAGCCTCGCCTCGCAAGAAACCATTTAGAGTTGTCTTGTTTTCAGCCATGTCGTCGGGGAATTCCAACAAAATGCCTTTGTTAAGTCCTGGCCTTGCAACTTCAAAACAAGCCGACCGTGTTCCCGAAGTGCCGACGAGGAGCAGACACAAGGAAAGAAGCACCCATATCTCTTCACGCAGTGCCAAGCCATTCATGCACGGTGCCTGATGCCTTGCCAGGACACACCAGGCCAGGTTCTATTGGCTTCAGATGGTTGTGACACCAGATGGTTTAAAATGTCCACTTATTGAGGGTGCTTTGCCATGCGCTTGGTGGCCCGCTGCCGCGTATGTCCCAGGCGTCAAGAGCAAGTACACCGCAAAAATGACGGCACCGTCGCCTCTCACTGTGCTGATGTCTGCAGTTCCGGAAGGGGAGCCCAAGGAAGTGGATGGCAAACGCTGCTTCTACTTCACGCAGACGCCTGTCGAAGCCACGATTGGGTATGATTTGGTCAGATCAGGGCTTTACTTGTTTTGAGCCAGCCTAATGCGCACTCAGGATTAAGTAACCTCCCCTTATTAATCAAGCCCAGCTGCAGCCTCCAATACTAAACTGATTTAAAACCGGATTTTCCACCTTGACATCCCCCTAATATTTTTTCTGGGCTAGAACCTCCCCCTATCAATTAAGTGCAGCTCCCCTAGAACAAGTTATAATTAGCTTTATTATGCTCTATTAGTTAATTTCTTTTGGGCAGTATCCAATATCTTTTGGTCCATGGTGAAACTGATCTTCGATCCACCCTTGTCTCATGCCATCTCGGAGAGACCATCCTATCCTATCAGATCTCTTACCAACATTGTGCCAATATGCTCAGGGTTCTCATGGTTCAATCTCTCATGACACAGAATCCCATCAACCATCATCCATCATCAGGTCCAGGTCATCATCTCATCGGATGTGCCAAGTGCACGAAGGGATTTGCTAAGTGCGCGACGAAATGTGCTGATTCACCTTTCACTCTCCTCGTTTTTCCTACCCAGTCCCCATCACCCTGTTGCACTGTCCACTTTTGCCAAGCTGTTTCCCTATCACTCCGCAGCCAAGCCGTCAGGAAGGTGCCCATCCCCAGCTATTTGCTGGCAATTGCCTGCGGCAACTTAGCTTCGCGCCGCCTGGGCCCGCGGAGCCACGTGTGGAGCGAGCCGGAGGCGGTCGAGGCCTGTGCCTTTGCGGCTCGGAGAAAAGGGGTGGAGCGGAGATCCTCAGGTCGTGGATCCTTGACAGGGCTGGGGCACCTGGGAGGCGGATTAAGTTATGTAGCTTCTTGTTACTACTAGTAAGGCACTTGTTACTAGTAGCGATGCACTTGTTCCTAGCCGCTTCTTGTTTCTACTAGCTTCCCTTACTAGTAGAAATGGTCTCCGACCTAATATCGATGCTGACCTGCGCGGCCGTGTCACACAGCTCCGGCAAAGGTCCACCAAAGTAATGACCGACCATGGTGAAGGATGAGTGGCTTCTTTCTGCCAGCGGTTCCCTGTGTTTTTAGAATGCGTTAGTACCGATGGCCGGTGCAAGAAAATTAGCTACCAAACTCTACTTGTTCTATAGGTACTGTAACTACTACAGACGCGCGGCAACGGGGTAGCGAATGGTCACGCTTGCGCATGGCCATGGAGCTGGAAGTGTTGAGCGCACAAGGAGCTAGACCAGAGCAGGTGCGCGGAAACGTCGCGTTCGCTTTGGGCGTTATTGTGCCCCCATGGAAAGGTGAAGGGAAGAATGACGGATTCATGGGTTCATGCATGCGTGTGAGACACGAGCTCGGACGTACATGTCGGCAGTTCTCGTGCAGGTTCTCTCGATCCGAGCTGGAGGCCAACGCAAACGCGTTGTCATTGGGTCCTTCAAGAAGGCGCATGCAGAGTGAATATCTGTGGAAGTGCGTTGCAGAGACGGCTGAACTTGATTTCAGTCAAAAAACTTGCTTCGTGAATTCTGCTCTGCAATTGTTAGCAACGAGAAAGTGGCAACGCTTTCTGGATGAAACGAATTTTGAAGTAGGAGCTCAGGATTCAGCCCTCGCATTTTGTGATGTTGCACTCACCCACACGGACCCCACACAAGCTATGTTCCACACCAGGTCAACAGTTCGTGTGCAGCACAAATGTCACGATGAGGAGTGTGTCGAATTTTTGGTGGAAAAACGAAAGAACCAGGAGAAGCGTGGCCTGTCCTCTTAAATTCAGAGCAAGGGCGTGCAAACCTACAAGGTTTGATTGATAAAGCCATGGAAGTAGAACCCATAAGGAAGCATTGAAGTGTGAAACTTGTCAAACCTGGAAAGAAGTGCGAGAAGAACTCTTTCTTTGATCGGTGGTCTAATCTTCTCGTGTGTGCTTTTCCACAGGGGGGAAAGTGGGTGGTCGACAAACCCGAAATCATGACCCATTATGTGTGAGGATATGTCGACGATAAGCCGCAATCGTTTTTGCCTGATAGGTTTGGTGGAGCATTCGTCTGCAAGCGAGGGATCAGCAGACCGTGGGCATTATGCGGCATGGTTGCGCAACCGAGACAAAACTTGGCACCGCGCGGATGATGCTGATGTCGATTGTGGCTGGATCACACAGTAGAAAAACACCGTTTTAGCTTTCTACGAGAAACGGGAAACAGAAGTCACTGGAGCAGAGCTGCATGAAACAGTCGAAGCGGACAAAGAAAGGGATGTCTAGCAGGCGACATATAGCCGCAGCTTCTTGGACGCACACTCTCAGAGCAAGAGCGAAGATGGCGAGTTTGAAAGCTGGCTGCAAGGTTTTTTGTGAACTTGGACAGTGTCAGAGATCTTGCAACATTTGCCGGCAGACTTGTCGTGTTGGCCGGATGTCAGTCTAGAACAAAGCTTGGACATGTTCAAAGCCGGTTGAAGAGTGCGAGGCATGAGTGCCTGGGTGCCGAAGATGAAGTCGATGTTTTTGTTCCTTTGTGGCGTACCATGTTGGCTTTAGTTATTGACGCCCTTGCGAAAGCTTTGTCGTTACCAATGGTGATGTTGTGGGATTCGCTCAAAGTCGTTTTGAGCAGTCTACTCCACAAAAGTGTCGGTGTTCGCTGGCAAGAATACTTCTTTTCAGCGCAGGACGGCGTCCTCTGGAAGTTGAAGTTTCCAATAGCGTTGTGGTGCAGCTTCGTGAGTTCTTGGTGAACATGATTCTGCAGTTTGTCCGTATGTGGGGGCGAAGAAGACGGCGAGGTTGTATTGTAGAAATGACCCCAGCGTGAAAGATTGCTTTTTGGAAGTGCGTGCAATTGGAAACGAATTGAGAACACTTTCAGTGATGGAGGCAGTTTTCATTCGATGTTGGAGAAGTTCCGTATTGGTTGAGCCATGAGGCATTCATGAACGAAATCCTGTCCATGATTTGCAGCGCAGGGCCCGAAGTGAGAGACAATGTGGTGGAGGCCACACGCTGTACGAAAAGAGCGCCAAGATAGCCATGCAGTTTGATTGCTTGCGCTTAGTCGGGGCCTTAGTTCTTTACAGCGTACATGCGCCGAAGAGCTTCGCGCAAAGAAACATGTGATAATCAGTCGCTCTCCTGCACGCAGTGAAGCGATGCACCATGGAGCGCTAAGAAGCGGACAACTTTTCTGCTGGCACACTTCCCCAGTTCCCCAGGTGCAGTCTGAGAACAGGGCGTGCCACGCGCAGAGGGCTCTTTGAACATCTTTCAACACAGATAAAGACACGCGCCGCGCGCGGGAGTGCTATGCATCCACGCAAACCAAAGGAACAGCCAAAGACGTGGTTCAAATCTCAAACGCACAGCAAGTCTAGTTGAAAGCCTGGGTCCGCCGGTGCCTGGGAAACAAACATTGTGAGGGAGCCTGACGCACACGGACAGTGCACACATGCGCGTGTTGCGTTCGGCGTTGACACTCCCCAGTATCATCTCCCCCTGCCACATGTGTGAGATTTAATGCAAGTTTCGGTGTTTACGGTTCGAGAGGGAAACTACCGTGAGCAGTACATCCAAGGCACGTGGATACAACATGGTCGATGTCGAGATCAGTCGCTCAGCTTGGAAAGCACGAGAAGGTGGCCGCGTTCGACAGTATGTCGGTCAGTATTCGCGGCAAGGAGATGAGGAAACTGCAGAGATGATTCGACTTCTCAAAAGTGCCAGCATTATGACTCTTTGTGCAGACATGATCGGCCGAGCAGTGGCGAAATACAGGCATGTGACATGTGTATAATACTCGCCCAGAACGAAGAGAGGCCACGGCCCAGACGCAAGAAAATGGATGGGGCAAAGTGGAGCGTGCGGAAAATTGATGCCAGTGCTTCGAAAACATGAACTGCTTGAAAGGGTTCCCCTTTTTGACCCACACACCTCCTTTTTTCCAACCCATGTGTTCTGACCCCCGGAACCTTTTTGACCCACACAACCATTCTTTCTGACCCGCGGCCTATTTTTCACCTACCACTCTTCTTTTTTGAGAAACAATACTTCTTTTTTGATCCACCAGCATTCTGTTTCCAACCCTTTGTTTCTGACCCACAGCCCTTTTTTTGACCATCAACAATTTTTGACCCACGGCCCTTTTTTCACCTCCGAAACTTTTTCCTTTTGACCCACGACCTTTTTTTTTTACAACCAACCCGTTTTTCATATTTTTTGGAGCCACGGTCCAGTTTTCTTCGACCCCGCAATACTTTTTGTTTGACGCACAACCCGTCTTTCTTGACCTCATAGACCTCGGGCACGCTCTATGAGAAGAAAACGCTGGAGAGGAACTCATTCTCCTACCTACTGAATCCCTCTCTCTTCATCTGACCCACGGTATTTACTGTTTGATCCCGTAGCCCTTTCGTTTTGAACCACAACCTTTTCATCCACAACCTGTTTTTTTTACCCACCACCTAATAGATAGTCGCACGGTTTCCCATGCATATTCCACGTGGGGATCTACTTCTTTATCTATTTGGGGGTCAAAAACATTGCGTGATGTTGGCAAGATTTGCAGATATGCTTTTTGGGGGAAGGGGGGTGTCAAAACATTGGTTCATTATTGGGAAGACGGAGAGGGTCGTCGTTGTTCCGCGTGAGCCGGGGACCGGTTGAGTGCGATCGCTGCGATCGCTGGTCTTGGTCTTAAGGAATTTTCAAACACCGAGAAGTTCATGAGCATCGGCGAGAAGCTCTTTGGTGAATACGTTTGGGGCATCTACGACCTCTTGGTGCTGCCTCCATCCTTTCCTTACGGCGGTATGGAAAACCCATGTGCCTTGCTTGGTGTCCATGTGTTTCCTCAGTCGCCGCAGATTTACCAAACTCCCTGGTGTTGATTGGCATTAGTACTGCCACTACACCTTGTGAGACAGATGGTCACGGAGCATTGGGCAAATATGGATGCTAAATAGTCGAATGGAACGAATCTCTTCAAGCAGTGCCCAACTCCAAACAGCTTTTCAAGAGATGACAAATCCCAGTCTTGGCCAGGCAAGGACCGCTCCCTCTGCCTCCCGAGGCCTGACCTTTGTCACTCCCACACTTCTGGCAGGTGATCGCTCCCTTGCAGACGTGGTCGCACATGAGCCTGGGACAGACCGGAGATGGGTCGCCTAGGCATGACATGAAGGTTCAAATTGTGGATTCGGTGTGATTCGGTTCATGGATGAGTTGCGGCATGTTGCAGCAGCCTCTCCTACCACCCTGGTATATAATGTGCATCAGAATAAGAACGATGTTTAAGTTTCCCCAAGAGTCCAAGAACCAAATGAGCGTGAACTATCCTGCGTCCTGTCGGTAGTAGCTACTTAAGCTACTAGCGACTTCCGTTTGCTTCTACTAGCCACTGTTTGCTACTACCTCCCTCTACGGCCTAACGCCTCCCTTATTAAAACAAGAAGTGAAGTCTTCATGCGCAAACATCTTTAGGAGATCACGCATAGCTGGTTTGGCAACTTGTGCACCAATCGAAGCTGGGCGTCTTGGCTCAACGAACGCTTCTGGCGACGGTATAGTCGGCTGGGATCGGCTGGGATACCATTTCACACCACCGAGTTGGGACATATGCTGTGATTGTCCAAGATGTTCAGACTGATGCAATAGCTCAATTCTGGATTCAGAGGCGCCTCTCTTGCAGAACTGATTGCTTTTGTTTATGTGAACCTGGCTTCCAGGAATGCTTCTGGTTGAATGAAGGCTTCACCAAGTTTGGTGAGACCCGCATCATGGGCAACATGAATGGAGCTGAGCCTGGTATTCAACATGGGAAAGGTTATGTCATGCCGTGCTTCCGATTTTGGAAGTCACATGTTGTGACTTAATAGGCGATTGGTTCGGCACAGGAGGACTTGCCGGAGAGTACTAGTGTTCCGGACTATGTGTCGTCTAGTATTTGTTGGAAAGATGTGCTTGAAGATTCCACTAAGGACTACGAACAGCTGCTACTGAGGAATGACTGCTTGAAATTGTCGGAAGACGTAGCTCTCTTTGGGCCTGAGCATGAGTTCACCAAACTGTGTCGCTTGGAAACAATTCAAGGTCAAGCTGTTCATGGACAGGTCGCGTTGTTTCACCACGCCCTTCCAAGTGAAGATCCGCAGAGTTTCCCCAACGATGCATCGCATCAACATGGCTTGAGGAAATTTGAGGAAACAACCCTTTCAGAAGATCATTTCAACTGGCTTCCAACTCCTGTTCAATTCAACTATTTTTCTCGTGTAGCGACTCTGTAACGACTGACAACATCCAACATGCCTAGCCCAGGTCCACAGCTGAAGGGAGTGGATCCTGATGATGCCTTCAGTGGCATCCCATACATGTTCCTGTGATGCATGCATGATACAAATCCCGAAAGCCAGCGGAAAAACCGTAAACGTGTGTAAGACAGAAATGTTTGTACTCGCAGATGTCTTTCAGTTTGTAGTTTGCTTGAGATGGCAAAAAGTACAGGGGCAACTCTGCATAAGAAGGGCGAACTGAAGGGCCTTGTAGTTGCGTGGTGACGCTTGGATGAGGAAAGGCGAACTTATGCTACGGCATTTGGAGAAGATTGTGGGGCAGGAGAATGTATCTTCTTTCGGGAAGTCAAAACTTGCCCTTGTGTGGCAGCCATGTATTCATGTTTTCTGCGGCGCAGCGTGCTGCGTACTTGAGCCAAACTATGCCAAGCTAAAACCGCAGGAGCGTTTTGAAGCTTATCTCAGAGCTCATGTGAAGCGCTTCTCTGGAGGGTGCTTGGATGAGAACGACTTCAAGAACTTCTTCTTGGAGCACTTTTCCAGTGAGCCACCTGCTTTGCACGAAAGGTGTGTGTGTGTCACCCCTGTACCCTGTTCAGTTCTGATGTCCAAATCGTTACAGAGGAGGGGGGCATGGGTCCATAGAGCTGTGCCCAACGAAGCGGATATGCGGCCTGATCAGCTGCACGAACCTGCCAGAGTTGATGCTCTTAAGCAACACTGTTTATATAGGACTTTTCATTCTGCAGTTTGCACAGGACCATTTCCAGGTATGTTTTGACAGGTCGTCTAATGCAGTTTCGTAAAGTGCTAATGCACATCGTCAACTGAACTTGTGCTCACCGGAGCTCTATTCTAAAACGTGTGTGCGCGTGATCTCCCCTTGTAGCCCCACTTGAAGCCATGCTCGGTCGCGGCATAGGTATCAAAAAAATAAAAATAAAAAGAGCATCAAAAAAAATAAAAACAGGATCAAAAAAAATAAAAAGCGAGTCAAAAAATAAATATTCCTTGATAGGCCTTTTCTGCTGCTCTCCTGGCCTTCTGCGTGTCCTCTGGTAATGTGGTCCCTTGGTCCACTGGTCCTTTGGTCCCCTGGTCCCTTGGTCCTTGAGTCCACTGGTCCCCTAGTCCTCCGGTCTCCTGGTCCTGTGGTCCGCTGGTCCCCTGGTATCCTAGTCCTTCTGTCTCCGAGCGCTCTGACAACGCCACGTAGGGCCTAACTTCGTGTGAACGCCGTGACTACTGCTACTGCTACCACTACTACTACCACTCCTCCTCCTGCTGCTGCTGCTGCTGACTGCTACTGCTACTACTACTACCCCAACCATCCTCAGTGGGCTAGAATATTTTTTTTGATTACCTTTTTATTTTTTTGATCCCCGTTGAATATTTTTTTGATTCTATTTTTATTTTTATTTTGATCCCTTACCCCTCGGTCGCTGTACTCACAAACCTGCAAGCAAGTCACATCAAGTCACATCAACTTGTTTGTGGAAGAGGACTGCGACCTCAGAGTCAGCAAGGTCTGACCTTTGAGGAATCTTCGAGGAATCGAGGTTTCAAGCTTTGAAATGTCGAGTTCTTTCAAGTTTTGATCACAGATGGACGCACATTTCTCTCTACTTTGTATGTTCTTTCATGGCACCCTTGGTTTGAGCCCCAAGGCCGCGCCATTGAGAGAAATACTGGAGCTGCACATGATGGCTAGGTCGATGTATCATCATGTATCAATGTAAACTATGTGGGACGAGAACTAGGACGAGACTTATTCGTTGTAAGCCATGACTTGCTCTTTGCACAAGGCCAGCCGTCAAAGAGGTCGATTGGCAGAAGTGGTTCTACGGATGCCACCATTTGCTCTCAGCACCGTTTCCTTTTTGCTGAAGGAATTGTTCTCATTTATACCGGGTTCATCCATCCTCTCAGGATCTGCTCGGAGTCAGCACGATCCCAGCTCAGGACGTGGAATGCCAGAGATGCCTGCTCTCCACTCCACGCTGGCTGAGAAGGCAGGGCAGTACCCAGGGAGTCAACATGCAAACCTAAGGGCGTTGTTATGGGTGCAACCTGGCAAACATACTGTTGCAAGAGTTGCGTCGTCAAACCCGGTTGAACCAGAATCGGGGTGAACTGAATGATTGCAAGATCATAAGCTTGCCACGAGACCGTTGCTACTGTGGGGACGGCCCGTTTTTTGAGCAAAAACATATGTACCTTTGTTGTCGAAATATATATATATACAATATATACAAGCTTTTTGAGGGGAAGAGTTGAGGCCAAGTGCCAAGCCAGTGGGGAACCGGATGCCATTTCCGTCACTTCTACAGCGGATTTGCCAATTTTCCGTCGAGTAGTGTTGAGTGGGCAGCCTGTGCATGCCTGTGGTTAGTATTTGTTCACTATTCATGGCCCACCTTGGGTGGATCTTGGTCAAGCTGAGTGGCCGTTTCTACCGCCACTCCCAGGTTGAGCTGTTGTTCTCCTCGCTGAAGGGTGGATATGATGGGGCGGCAGAGGACATCAAAGACTGGTTTCCCAAGCAAACTGAGCTCCTCGGACCTTATGACTTTGCCTGACGACCCGATGGTGTTGCAAATGACTTCTCAGCGGGGTTGGACAAGTTGAACGTTTTTGGGACAGAATAGTGCCTTTCATCGTGCTGGAAGTTTAAGTGTCAGAGTTTCCATGATGCCTGATTAGTCCCTTGAGGCTTCGATTCATATTCAGTTGCCTCGTTTCTGCATCGCTAAGGTTGCTCCTGGACCGCTTGGTGGACTATGCCCGTGAGCAGGCAGCCGCTGGCAAAGCGGTAGAGGTGGGAGGGCAAGGACTAAAAGAAGAGCAACAAAAGAGTGGGCGTCAGAAGCGGATGAAATAAATGAGGGAACATATTATATATAATTAACGTCAACGGTGAGAACAAAAATCATGAGTATTCTTTCTTTATTATAGACGTTGTGCATCCAATGTTCGAACTCTCCCAGACTCGGAAGCCTTTCCGGTGTGATGCACATTTGGTCTTGCACTGGCGGCTGCGCGCGTTCGCTTGTGCCTCCGTTAGCTCCACATATGGCAGGTTCAAGGGCGGCTGAATGCGTGGAATGAAGCTTTCGGCTTCGATCTTTGCCTCAAATTGTGCGACCGGTCTGACGGCCAACCCTCTCAAAGGTACAGACCTTGCATCCAGCGCATGAGAGCTGCCAATGTGCACACAGGCCGACAAGAGGGTGGACCAAACCACCGACCGTTCATTCCTCCCCAAGGATTTGATGCCACAGGGGCTTGGGGATGGCTGAGTGGGTTGAGTTTTTGTTGGGGGGCATTGAGTTGTGAATTCCAGGCATATATTTGTCAGATTATGTAATGTGATAGTGATTGACTTGACTATGAAGGTCTTACCCCAAATAGCGCTAAGAGTTCCAGCATGTTATAGCTACAAAAGACCCGAACCCCCAACCAATCCACATTGCATTCTCGGGCGTATAATGCACCCAGCGTTTGTGCCTCAGCCCGTTGAGACTCAGAGTCGGACGTGTGGCGTTTGAGGATAGCACGAAGAATGCCGAGATCCGCTTCCGCTGGCTGATGCTGGCCTTGGCCTGCAATGACCCTTCCCGTGTGGATGCAGCCATTGCCATGGCTCAGGAGGCTGGTGCCAGACGGACACATCAATGATGATATAAGATGATGTATGTCCATGGACGCCAATTTAGATACCAGTCGCCCGTCATTTTCTTGATTTCCAGTGGCTTACAATTGACAATTCAACATCAAAAGGCCTTCGCCAATTTTGGCGTGCTTGGGGCTGGGGTTCCGAGTTGAGTTTCGGCAGAGTGTTGGAGATTCCTTGCATATCCTTTCTTTCTTTCTTTCTTTCTTTTGTTCTTTTGAGAGCTAGTGCCGGAAAGATCCTTGCACCAAGACGCTAGTTACTGGTCCAATAACGTCCAACAATTACTGTAACGCATCTCCCCATGGCGCATTCCTTTGGATCTTTGGTCCCATAGGTGCGGCTCTCGCAGGTGGGACGCATGAAATTCACCCGCCCACTCTACCGAGAACTGCGCCACGATTGCACATTTGGTGGGATGGTGTGCCGTGCCGAGCTGTCAGCAACAGACAACATACTGTGCATGTTTTAGAGTTCAACCAAAAGCCTACTTTCTGGGTGCAATCCACTTCCGGAGAACTCCCTGAGCAAGTGTCAGCCGCGCGGAGGGATGTGAATCCGGGTGAGATGACCCTTGCTAAGGCATAGCAGACACGTGCCACAATGCGTCCGCCCGCCCTTGTTTTGTTACGGCCCAGGATCAAGGAGCCAAGCCGTTTGCCAAAGGCTAAGACAGCCTTTGAGGCAGCCAAGGGCTCCTACCACCCGCATCTTGGTCGAAAGGATTCGGGACGGGTCGTGTCTCTTCTCCCCTCGGTGGTTTGGCAGACTCCCAGAGGCTGAACTGAAGATGGCCCCGTGTGGCCCGTGCAAGGTGCAGAGGTTGTTTTGAGTCGTGTGTTCTGCCCTTTGATTATTGGGGATGAACAGCATCAGAGATGTGCTTTGGCTACTTCCACTGCCGCCCCTTCGGTTGGTTTGAACGCAACGGCGCAAAGAGTCGGTGCCGCCTTGCAGAGCTCCAGAGCTGTAGAACGTATCCAAGGATCACTGCCAAAATGGTAGCACAAGACTTTGCGAAAGCTGAAGCCAAATGAGGAGTGCAGTGTTGTGGACCTGGTGCAGTCTCAACAGCCTCCCGAAAGAAGGTGCGCCAGGAAACTTTGGACCAGCCTGGCAGCTCTTTCCGCCACTGGAGCACGCTATGGCATATCTTGTGGCGATGTTTAGGTAGCTAGGGTAGCTACTAGGCTGAAGCGACAGGCTCGTGGTGTCGAAGAAAAACATGCGCCGCGTCACAGCTGGTCCTCCTCTTTTGACCTACTCAGATAGACAACGCGATGCTCTTGTTTTGCCCAAATCCGGAACTATTTGACAAATTGCCTCGCTGGATGATGCTTTGATCCTTTACTATCCTTTACTGTACTCATTGATGTGGGCAGGTGCTCCATATCTTTGGGAAGACCGTGGTGGCCCTAAGTTTGCTTGCTGGAAGCGACCAAGCCGTCTTAAAGCAGTGATCACGCCACGAAATGAATCGAAAAGAGATTGCATATCCCGTTTGTTGAGCCACTTGGAGACAGATCGTTTTCATCTCACCATCCAATGAGCTTGGATGACACAGCTTTAAGGTCCGGTGGCTGGTGAGGAGGTGAGACAGATGTTATCTCAGGTGGGTCCATCAGAGTGTCAAAAATTGACCGGTCAGGGCTGTTTGGCCTCTCATGGCTCAATTGAGAGGAACCTGTTTGAGACAAACCTGGCTACGACCGACACACCCAATAAGAAGACGTGAATTCAACAAGGTCCAGGCTTTGATCCACCGATGTCCCTGGCAAAAGCATGGCAAGGCACGCTTGGAAGCTCAAGCAGCTTCTTGGCAAGGCACCCGAAAACGTTAGTTGTAAACTGGCATATTATTGTGTAAGGCATGCACAAGGACGAAACAACCGAGAAACGCTTCAAACAAGTGGCTTGTTTGCCACCATGGTGCGCTACTTTGGCAGAGTCCTCCTGCGGTAGGCTGTCGAGTCAAGTGATTGATTTGTTATGATTTGTTCCGGCTGACTCCTCGGAAAGAGTGCCGACAGCTCAAAGCATGCTCGTTGCCGTAACAGGTCAAAGGCGTTTCACCTTCAAGCAGCAAAAGTTGCAGCCCACCAGTCGTCCAGCTTGTCCCCACATATTTGTGGCTGCCAGCCGGCGAGCCAAATGCTCCCAATGTGGTGCATGTCAAAAGCCCCTCAGAGCATTGCAAAACCCTGATGACACAATCAGTGAAGGGTCTAAGAGACGTAGCGGAAACTATCTCAGCTCACGGCGTGAGTTCGTCCTAGATGGCGGCTTGAAGGTGCGGCAAGTGTATAGGCACACAGGATTGGTAGTTTAGGAGCTTGTGAGCTACTATTTTCCTTGGTGTGGTACCGGCGATTTGAATTTGGAGCTCACGTTTGACCCTCTTCCCATCATGGACAGGGCCTCCTTGATGCCGACGATCCATGATCTTTGTGACTATTTGGCAACGTTCGGCCCTAAGCTTGTGAGCATTCGCAGGCAACGAGAAATTCGCCACAGCAAATCTGAACGTTTGGCCTCAAGAAACCCAAAGCGGTGATAGCATGTGATGGAGTTGCCGCACCTGTGTCGGAGTAGATTGAGCTGCAGTTTGGCTGTCAAGACACATTCCAAGCTTTGCAGACCAGATGCGCGTCAACCATGTCCATCTGTGCTACTTGTCCTAGTTGTGAATCATCTGATCCAATATTGCCTAAATATAGTTCGCAAGCATGTATAGAATTCTATAGAGATATGTGATGATATGATATGTGCACATGCACTGGAGCCCTTCCTGAGGCGCAGCTTGCCTCAATGGATGGTGGCGCAACTTCGGACTATGGGAGATGTGCAGGAGCCCGGATTAAACATACAGTAATTGAAACGATCCGGACCCTCGACCCTGGGTGCTTGCGCCCCAAATTTATCCTTTTTGACATCTGGCCATGCCAGGAATCCTCCAAGTTGGGCACGGATGGCAAGATTGAATGGCTGTCCTCAGTCACCAGTGAGGGCTTGACTCGGATTGGCATTGTGCACCCGCTCCACCAGCGGCGCATACTTCGAGAGATCCAGTGCTACATGCTGATGCCCGTCTCTGCGGCGGAGGACGCCCTTCCTGAGCCACCGGTTGCTCCACCTGAGAAGGTGGTCCGGCCACGCAGACCTCTGGTCTACGAGAGGGACACGCGATGGCCCTTCCTGGACATCGCGTGTTTAAAATTGATGGACGTGCCGAGGCCGACGATCTCCGCATATGGACATTCTGAAAGACGCACTCGCTTGGCTGAAGAAGTGCGGATCGACGATGATCTTTTGAAGCCCTCCAAGGACTCCTCGCGGGTGTCGCTTGCCAAGACTCTAGAGAAGTCTCAGGAAGTCTTTTGGCGGGAATCGACTGAAGAGGAGGAGGAGTCTGAAGAGATTGACTGGGAGGAGTGGCTGGATAGTCGGCTTCACTCCTGGGGCATGTTGTCTTTGGTTGATGAGGCCGTTTGAGAGCTAGAGCAGTCCTTCAAGACTTTGCATAGATTCATCCAAGACCTTTGCTAGTCCATTGGTGATGTTTGGCAGACCTTTGCTGCATGTTTTGATGTTCCGTCGCCCTGCCTGCGGAAATCGGTCGGTCTGCTGCATGTTGGAGGCTTTGAAAGCTGCCACTCTCGGGGATTTGCACCTGGTGCACGACCTGGTGGACAGAGTGCGCTCCCATGGCCCAGCCTTGATCGAATCGCTGGAGAAGACTCCGCCACTGCGCATTAGTCTTCAGCACACCTTTAGCTGATGGTAAGGTAGGGGAGGTGGCTTTAAGAAGAACATTTGAGACTCCCCTGTAGAAGTGAAACAATCAACAAGAACAACTTCTTTGCACGGGCATTCCACTGGTCATGAGATGTTGTTCTTTTTTATAAATTAAAGTTTCACTCTAAGGCTACCCGAGCACTTAGAGATGGTGTTCCCGGATATGCCAGAAGATGAATGCCCACCAAACACAATTTGGTCGTGGATTATGTGGCGCTTGGAGTGGCTGAAGCGGGCCGACCGCCGAGTGGAGCGACTGGTGGAAAAGGCCACCGGCTTGGCACCCTGGTTCATCATGGTCTCTTTTCTGCTTTGGTTTCGGCCCAGCTCCACCGCCCAGCTCCACCCCTTCTTTGATCGATTTTCATCGGCTTATCCCTTGTACTTGCCCGAAGGGAGGCTCTTCTGAGGGTCTTTGTATCTAAAGGATTCTCCAAGTTCATGGGAACAAGAGAAGTGCCCTGGGTGGAAACCACCTGACGGGAGCTCTGCATGCACACGAGAGACATGAGAGGTTCAGCATGGTTCAGTGAGCTTCGAGTTGCGCAAATCGACTGAGGTAGACAATGTCATGGGATATTCGGTTTCCCGTGACGTTTCTGTGCGTCCAAGCCACGAAAAGAGGAAGGCCACGATCAACATGAAGAAACTGCTCCTAGGCGGGGGTTAATGTAACAGACCGTTTTACGGGCAATTGTAGTTGTTCTAGTCTTACATCTTTTTCGCGACAATTGTTTTAGTGAGGCATGTGTGTCGATAACATATCCTTTTGTAGGATGTTTTAGAACATTTAGGTTTCGGACGTTTGGATTCCTTGGTTTCTCTTTGCTTTTTGCTTTCCGCGTGTTTTCTTCAAGGGAAAAATGCAAGGAAGCAGTACAGAAGGAAGCAAGGAAGCCTGCAAAGCAAGCAAGGCAGGCAGGCAGAAAGGCAGGCAGGAAGGAAGGACGGAAGGAAGGAAAGAGGGAAGAGAAGGGAGCAAAGTAGCATGCAAGAAAGCAAAGATGCAAGAAAGGGGCAGAAGCTTCTAAGCTGGCAGAAACTCCACTTCATCACTACTCCGGTTTGCATGCTTTTCGCGGGAGGCGTGTGCCCTTCCCCTTGCCCCCTTCCACAAATTTACACATTGCGTCCCCGGTTAGGGTCTCCCGCGCCAGAACCTTTACAAACGCCACACACCCACCCAGCAGCAAATAAGAAAAGCACATCAAAATCATAAAGCAAATCCGAACCCTACTGATCAGGGTATCTAACACAATGTTTTGGCCGAGGCAGATGATGGCAGATGTATATGAACAACCGCTTAAACCAGCAATGACCAGCTTAGTTGTGAAATGTTAAAGTATCAGACAGTGGTCTGAAGCCTGGAAAAGGCCCTCCTCAAAGCCACGACTGTCAATGCAGTTTTTGAATGTTTTTGAAGTATTATCGCTGGGGCGATAGGTCCCACTCAAAAGGCATAGGATAAATATAGTAATCTTGTCGAATCATGCCCTGTTCATTTCCAAGCAGCTTTGGCAAGACACTCATATAAGCAAATATGATGCAGTAGCTCAACAATTTTGCAAATAATGCATCTGAAAAACTGCCGACAACAGGCCTGACCCAGCTTAACACACTCTGTTGTGCCTTGGCAGTGCCTCCAGGAGCCAGCGCAGCCTCCTCCTCCTCCGAAGGACCCTCCAGGAGTGCCAGTTCCGCAGTGTTCTTTGAGACGGCCCATGCAGCTCTCAAGCAAAAGCAGGAAAAGCCGAAGGCAGGCCCTGCGGGCAGGTGTTGGTCAATCACACAATCTGAAGGTGGGAAACAAAACAAGGGCGTACTTTGATGGAATTCCTACTTTGAGCATGTGTATGGTCGTCTATGGCAACATGTTGAGCTGCTAAGTTGTATGCATACCGTGGCGATCAGTCAAATTCTGACTTCCCACCCATGAAATGCACACTGAGGGCGTGGAGGCGTTCCGAAGGGCGGCTCAGCAGATTCTGTCGCATATCAAAGCGAAGCGGCAAGATGGCTTGGTGGCCAGTACCAAACTGTTGACCTGCGTAGCCATGCAGTCGAAGGTGGTGAATTTACGGCAGGACCTGCAGAACATCATGGACGAGGTGGACAAATGGCCACAGCTCATCAGCGACAATCGCGAGTCCTGCCACTGGTCGGAAGATGTCGGAAGAAGTGTATATCTAATATAGAGAGAGGGAGAGAGAGATACTCTTTTTCATTTAAATATATTGGTTGGACCGTGCGGTGAATCAGTGAAACACTGTTTGTTGAACAGTTTGTTGCTATCTGGTACATCCTTATCTTCCTTCAGGAAGGCATGCCAGCGTGGGTTGCTTTTCGGGTGTGGGGCCCCACGAGTACTGTCTGGGGGCTATCGGATCCACTTGCTTTATCGGGTGCCTCCATTGATCCTCAAAGAGATGTTTAAATCGAACCGTGTAGGGACAGTGTAGGCTCCAGAATTTGCTTAGACATCTCATCTCGCACTGGACCTTTTTGTTGGGCATTCGCTCATCACAGAAGGTCTCGAAGCATCCTCATTGCCGAACTCCCCGGATATGTATCTGTGGGCAGCTCACCATTTTACCGTGCATGTCCCCTGCACGCTTGGGCCACTCATGGGCCACCTGTACCGAGCGATCTCATCCAACCGATTGCGACGTGTTATTCACATCGCTCCAACTATGTTTTGGATGAGATCTCTAAGTGTCCCTGCTCGCGAAGGGACCATTGGCCAAGCTCCATGACCTTCCTAAGAAACACGGGTGACATCTTCTTAGTAAGGGGGTCCGAAATCATGTTTCCTCCCCCAATCCACCTAACCTGCCCTGCCGACTTTTCCAAGTCGCTCTTGAGGATCGTCAAGTCGATCCCTGTCCTCTTGTCGTCGATATGTGCTGACGTGTTGCGACACTTGGTCATCGTGTCGTAGAGCGACTTGGAATCGGTAGCCGCCACGAAAGGGAATGCAGCGAGTTGCTTCTCCCACTGGTCAATCTCCAGATTGACCCCAAACAACTCCGCAAAGAGGAAGCGGTGCCAATGGAGGCTTCCGATGCCCTGAAGCATCGATTGGCATTCTGCCGACAAGGTGTTCACGGTGCACCTTTTGAGCTTGTAGCTCTTCCACCCAACGATGGAGATGTCCTGCTTGTGGTCGGAGGTCTCCAGGTCCTGGTTGTAGTAGAACAACAGGTAGCCGCCCTGGCTGTGTTTCTTGGCCATCTGGAGGAACTTTTCGGAGAGCGGTTGGTTGGTTTCCTTCTTTTCCTGTGTCTTGAAGAACGTGGTGGTTCCGGTCCATGTGTCACCTAGGTTCTTGAAACTGTCGTTGGTGTCCCATCTATCATGGGTCACTTGTGTTCCAACTTGGGTTCTCCTATCTCGGGTGATCTGGTGAAGGTCGGGGCCATCTTTGTCGATGATTGACCCTGGGTGAAAGGTGATCTTTCGTGGAGTGACATGGTGCCTCACCCAAGTCGTCGGTGTTTCGCTCCAGTAGTCCTTGGTGTTCTCGCTTTCAGCATTGGGTCCAGCATTACCCCATGATGCATCGGTTGCTACACCTACCCTCAACCGATCCAAGGGGATAGGTTGGATCCTCAGCCCAAGTCCTGAGGTCTTCATGAGGTCGTCCACGATGCTATTGCCTTCCAAGATGTCACGGATCATGGGGTTCGGCATAGTTTGTTGTAGTAGGGACACGCGTCCGGCAACGTCCGGACGGCTTTCCTTTGCGACCCAGCTTAGGCCACCAATCAGCTGTCGGAGCTGTCCCACCTCTTCGTCGGAGCATCTCGAGTATTTTTGGGCACCCCTTTCTCGACTCATGCTGATCTTCTGCAGGTAGTTCTCGATGTAGTGTTTCTGGTGGACAACGATGGATCCATCCTTCTCCTTGATGATGTCCTTACCGGTGAACTTGCCATCACCGGTTGAGAACTTTCCCATTTTGTAACTCCGTTGGAGCCACCTCATGTTGTTCCAGTGTTGTTCACCTCCTCCATGGACCATGTCATCCGTAGCCAAGGCGATGACTCCAGTAACTTTTTGGGTTGAGGGACACCGCAGGAAGAACAGGCATGGGTCGGCTCGGCTCTTCTCATAGTTGAGCTCCTTCAGGATCCGGGTGATGTGACAGTACCAAGCATAGGGACCATCAGTGAGTCCATAGCATGTCTTTCGAAGTTTGAGAAGCTGCCGATTGTGGTAGCCTGGTAGTCCTTCAGGAGGTAATTCAGCATATAGCTCCCGGGTGATCTGGTCACCTGCGTGGAATGCCTGGGTGAAGTCCAGATGTCCAATCTCCCATTTCATACTCGCGAGAACTTGAAGGACGAAGAAGACCGTCTCCTTAGCTACCTGAGGAGTCGTAGAAGCCAGGTCTTCAGCTCCTTGCTCCGAGAAGCCCTTCATCACATGTCGGGCTTTGGCCTTTTGAGGACCAAGTTGTGGGTTGGAATCTTCAAGCAAGAGACCTTCTGCGGCTAACTTCTCCACCTCTTCCACGTCCACCCCCTTCTCCGTGAGGACATAGCGGGACTTCATGATCTTGTCATCTTTGGTTCTCCGGACGTGTTCAGATTCCGTCCGGCTCAAGACCTCGTAGGCCCCGGAGTTGAGATTGTTTGTCACCTCTTTTGTGATGGCTGCCATGAACTTCTCCTTCTTTCGTGCTGGTAGTTTGTGAAGTTGGATCTCCTTCCCCTTCTGTTGCCGCCCTTTCACCAGCTCCTGGTAAAGAATCTCGAGGTGTTCAGTTCGCATTCTCTTTTCCGGTGGTCCAGTCTCTTCCGTTGCTTGTCTCACCACAGCTGTCGATCGAGGTGATGGCGGCGGCAGTGGATGTTCCTGATCTTCTCCATGTAGTGGGGTCTCACTGATCGGTAGAGGTTCCGGGGGCTCACCGACCTCGGTTGGAGTGTACTCGTCATCTACCGGAGGTAGGTCAACATCTTCGTAGGGTAGCTGGTTTCCTTCTTCTGTTCCAGGTAGAGGTCGGAATTCTACCTCGGTTTCTGCCGTTTTTCCTTCAATCCGGTATTTTGGTTTCTTCGGTGGAGGTCCTTCTGGTTCACGTTCTTCGGGTCCTTCTTGACCGGGTTCATCACATAGGGCAGGTGGCTTCTCATCGAGGATGATATAATTCCGGATCTTCTGGTTCTTAATCTCCTTCTGCGTATCCACAATGTCCTTGATGAAGTCCATGAACTGAAACTTTTCGTCATTGCAGATAGGTCGGAGATGTTCAGGAGCTGCCTTCACCAAGGTGCCACGATAGCTGACCCAAACAGTCTTGGGTAGGTCAGTCAAGATGACCTTCCCTGGTCCGTGCCAGAAAGCTGGAGAGTCTTTCTTCTGTCTCTCCATACCTTTCCTCCAGAAGTAGACGGTTTGGCCCACCTCATAGTCATAGAATTTCTTTGGGCCTGCGTAGACAGCGTGCTTGACTGCTTGTTCACACTCCACTTGGTGGAAGGCGAGAGAAGCTTGTTTGCGAACCTCCAGGGATCGTTGGACACCCATGTCGCCGGCGTGGTACCGGGACATCACTCCGACTCCTTGTTCGCCACCTTGAAAAAGTCCTCCAGGCAACCGAAGGCTGTAGCCCAACATCCGTTGTATCGGGCTGAAGCCAGACCGATTTGATAGCCTGTTCATGGTGGCGTTGACCTCGTCCACGGTGTTGCGCCAATCATCCCAACTATTGCATCCTGTTTCCATGAGCGTCCGGGAGAGGATCTCCTTGAAGCTGCGTCCCGACCGTTCTGTGATGGCACGTTGAGTTGGCATCTCCAGTGAACCTGGGTCCAGGTAGATGTCGTTCTGGTCGGCCATGATCTCAAACTGTCCCTTGAACTCCTTGCCGAGGTCGCAGTAGATGGACTCAGGAGGTCCGAAAAGTCGGATCCATTGGTGGAAGGCTCTTACTGCTCCTTGTGGTGTGTGGTCCTTCACCGGGATCATCAGTTGGAAGCGTGTGGCCCAACAGACGCAGTTCAGAGCCATCTTCAATTTGCCACCTGGTTCAAGTCCAGGAAGCCATACGGTGTCTACTCCCACCACTTGATTTGGTCTCAGCTGTCGTGGAGGTGCGGCTTGACGAGCTCCGTCGACCCTCTTATGTCGTACACATGTTGGACAGACGAGGTTCTTGGCAAGCTCGATAGCCTGCGGAGCGGCCTTGGCAGTTTTGAGAATGCTGGCTAACTTTTGGTTTCCTGGATGGCCTAGACCACAATGAGCTCGTCGGACCAGGCTCTCAAGACTTCCGGGTTTTTCCAGGGGCATAGGGCGTTCATGTCCTTCTTGGTCTTCATCGTCAGGTTGTTCATGTTCTGGGTCTATGGTGAGTTCTTCAGGTCCGGGGAGCTCCATGTCAATGTTCTCCTCGGTCATAATGTCCCAGAGGCGGTCTGCTCGGTAGCTCTCCTGGTATAGGTCCTCAACATGAGCGACATAGATCTCCTCCGTCAGGTCGATGGACTTCTTGTAGGCCTTGAGAATCGCATCAATCAGGATCGTGGGGTACCGCGCTGCCATCGCTGACCGCTGGATTCCATGTGAGGAACCCAGTATGTGGCGATGTTGGTGATCGCCTGGACATTCCTTCTGAAGTGCCCGGGCAAGAACTTTATTATTGCATAGCCATCCAGTCGGCTTCTTGAGAGGTTCATGGTCAGCAGAGCGTAGACCAAACTGGCACTGGTCGTTCTTGATCAGGTAGATGGTGGGATCCTCTAGAAGGGTCCTCCAACGGGAATCTTGCCATGCCTTGGAAGTCCATGGGTGTTCAAACAAGAAGGTTCCACCATATTCATGAACACTAGCACACGTCTCAATCGCAAAACCTAGTAACAGTTTAGCCTCCTTCAGACGTTTCTGGAAAATCTTCATTTTCTCGGGGTCCTGTTGCCTCGCATGTTCACTCAGGTTTTGAAGCATCGACAACATGGTACATGGGGGTGACACACAAACAAGGCCTGGTTTATGCGTGCGCAAATACTCTCGAACGGCGCGGCGACTCGGCTCTCGGGTGAGGTCATGTCCTAACTCTAAATCAAAAGCTTCTCCGGGGTTCAAACCATGTTTGGGAGCTCGGGCGCCAAAACGGTTTGGGTTGTACACTTCGGCGACCGTTCTAGCCTGTTTACTTCCGACATTCGGTCCGAGGAGTTTGGCCAAACGGTGCACAAATTTAGAGTTCGGTGTTTTCGAACTTGCTACTGTACACAGCAGCTGCTCAAAAGGGTCTGGCCCCTCTGGGCGCTGCAGGCAGGTCATAATGTTCTCCCAAGTTCCTTGGGCTTCCATCAGAGCCGCATGGCTCTTCCGAAGGAGTTGCTTCAACTTCCTGCCACTCAGCGCACAGCCGCTGGGTAGTCCATCATCATGAACTAGCCGTCGTAGGGACCGTCCATCCATATTCCTCCCGGCTTGAGGGCTCCCGATCGCTGAATCCTGCGGGCTGTTGTAGCGCTCATCGTTGCCATATCCTGTTGGTAGACCGGGAAGCGCTGCTCCGGGTAGCCCGCCTGGTACTGGTACTGGTGCTCTTGATTCTCGGCCCCCTTTCGCTGGTTGTAGGTGGACTTCTGGTCCTTCTTTTCCTGCCTCTCCTGTGCCTTCTGCTTCCCCAGGGCGGTCGGCTCGTCGACCAACACCTCCTTGCAGTCGATGCACTTCTCGAAGATCTTGAAGGCATTGGTGCCGACCCGGCTGATGTTCTTGTGCTGGCATCGGTAGCTTGGGAGGCGTGGTATCGGGGGAGCTGCCATAGTCGACGATGAGCCCCCCCTCTGCTGGTGTTCCTCTTCCCACTGTCGACGGAGAGGTTGTTGAGCACACCATTGGAAGGTTGCGCATTGTGCACTCCGCTGCATTGGGCACCTCCAGAACAGGCGTTTGTTGTTCTGATGAGTGTGGCTCACGAAGAGGCGGCAAAGTCGTCCATGGCCGCATACTGGAGGTGGGCCCACCATGTCCTTCAGCTCGTCCAGGAGTTGGTTCATGTCCCCCTGGGATGATCCTGGACTGGTCTGAGCCAGCTCGGAGTTGACACTCAGCCGCTCCCAGGAGACCTCGCTGCTTGTCCGAGGTGGTGTTTGAAGCTTTGGGGGAAGTCCTTCTCCCTGATCGTGTCGATGGGGTAGAGGCGGAGGTGGAGCCATCGGTTCCTGTTTCTTCTGGATCAGGTGCTCGAGGATCAGGTTGATGCCCCTCATCACATAGAAGAGCTTTTCCATGACCTTCTTCCAGTGCCACACCGATGGGAAGTGTGTTTCTCCCTTCGTGTTCCGTGGCCGCTTCAGGTCGGAGGTCGCTTCCATGGTTCGAAGGCTTCGAGATGGTCGGGGGGCTGTCAGCGATGGCGGGCTTGGTCCAGCTGGGTGAACACAAAGCGCGGTCGTGAGGTGAATGGGTGCACTCAACCGTAGGTGAATGGGTGCACTCAACCGTTTCCAGAATATCAAATTCTTTCGTGTTCTTCACACGGGTTTCCTGGGACAAAGCCTCCAATTGTTTCCTAGAAAATTCCCCCAAAGGAATTCGAAGGGCGCCGGATGGGCCTAAGTGACATCTTACGGTAAAACCCTGTTTCTGAAAATGAACCCTGAGTCCGGAGTCCTGGTCCAGGTAGATCACGGCTTTACATGCCATGAGGAAGGGCAAGCTTATCAGGAACGGGGCCGTCACGCTCTCGGGGTTATCGAAGATCGCCGGCATGAGGTAGGAACCCCTGTTCCCCAAACTGGAGGGAACCATGGCCACCCGTTGGGTGTTGGAGATGCCGTGCACGCTTTTGAAGCGATGTTCTTGTTCTTTAGTTCGAACTGGTAGGTCCGGTGGAAGACATCGGGCCAGATCCTCTAACGTTTTCCTTCCAACCACCATCCTCTGGCATCCGGTGTCGATCGTGGCGCAGGCGGCTTCAGGGTATTGTTCGGGCTTCATGGGTTCGGAAACATTCCTTCCTTCCCCCAAATAACACTCATGAACACTGCTCAACATCTCATGACATTCATTGGTAGGAAGGTCCCCCAGGAGCTCTGCCCTATATGCGCTCTCGGCGGGAGGTGCGATTTGAGAACCGTTCAAACTGCTGGAGCCAGCTGCCACATCAGCTGGGGGCACTACGGATGCCTCGCAGATCAGGTGATCTTGTTCAGGAGAAAGATCATGGCCACCCTGGTGCTCTTCCAGGTGGCCGCAAAAGATGGCCTCTTCCAAGCTATGGGCTTCCTTCGGGGCATTGCGATCCTTGTCCTTATCAGGACATTCTTTGTGCCAGTGTCCTGGCTTGCGACAGATGGCACACTTGGTGACCTTCTTGAGCTCCTCGATGGTCATGCGGTAGTTGCCTTCCTTGAAAGGCGCACCGGAGCTGGTCATGGTGAAGGACTTGCCCGGCTTGAACTTTGAGGCATGGGAATAGCCGCGGGACAACTCTTTCGACTTCTTGGCCTTGAGTGTTTGCATGTAGGTCTTCTTCTTCTGCTGCAGGATGGTGCTCAAAACTTCTGCAGCCTCATGCTCCTCAAGGGTGGTGCCATCACCTTCCTCGAGGATGACGTCATCATCCTCCTCTACCTGGAGGTCGTTGAGGGCCTCCTCAACCGCAAAAATCTCGTCCTCTTCAATCTCGTTGGGCTCGATCTGGACGTGGTGCGCAGCCGATGAAGAGGTAGTTCTGGAGGTAGTCGAAGTTGCCCCCCTTCTTCTCCAATCCAACCTGGGACGCCTGGAGCTTTGTTTCGTGTTTTCGGATCCATTCACGGATGTCACTGGGTTTGATGGATCCTCTGGAGTAGTTGAGCAAGGACTTGATGTCGGCGTCATTCAAGCCCAAGGCATTGATGAGCAAAAAGCCCACGTACCGCTCGGGGAGCACGACGGAGTGTTCCGCCACCTTCCTCATCGCCACATCCCACCGGCAGAAGAACTGCCGGAAGTGTTCCTCCTTGCTCCTCCGAAGGTGGTACGTGATCTTTGCCAAGGCTGACAGGAGGTCCTCCTCCCGATCATCGCCGAAGTTCTCAGGGAGCTCCATCAGGGTGATGAGCTCCTCTCCATTTCCATCGCTATTCATCCAGGCCCGATCCCGGGCGAGGTATTTCATCGTCTCGAACGGCGTCTTGGTCAGCTTCTGGAGAAGAAGTGGCCCACGTGCACGGGGACGGGCTTTCGTGGTGGCGAGCCAAAGACGAGCCTTGATGGCATAGTCCTGGAACGACGGCGTCTCGCCGTCCCACTCCGGAGGTGGCCCGCTGCTACCGAGGCCGCCACCACCATCGCCCATGTCGCTTTCATTGCTCCGGGTGGAGCCGCCCTGTCGCCGCTGATGGCGATGGGGATACCTGGCCTTCACGAAGGCCCGAAACTCATCACTATCAAAGGCCTCCTCGGCCAACTCTTCCTCGTCGAGGTCACCAGGGTTTTCCAACCCTTCATCGTCCACATGGCCAGCCGGCCGGGAGGTCGCGGACGTCGCGACGGGCGGCATGGCACCAACCGAAACCAACCAACCCCAAAAGGGACACCCCAAAAACAAACGAACCAACCGCCAGGTCCAAGGGCCGGACCTGGCTCCGCTACCACTGTGGGCAGCTCACCATTTTACCGTGCATGTCCCCTGCACGCTTGGGCCACTCATGGGCCACCTGTACCGAGCGATCTCATCCAACCGATTGCGACGTGTTATTCACAGTATCTTAACACGCTACTAGTAACAGGTGCATCGCTAGTAGTAACAAGTGCATCGCTACTAGGAACAAGAAGCTACTAGTAAGTAAACATATTTTATTTCGTTTTGGTTCCTGTTCGCGTGTTGTTTCACCTCCTCACTCTGCCCGTTTGCTCCTCCAAACTGGTATCCGAGGCGATGACATCATGGAGCGCTTGCACCAAGCGTCGTTGTCATTGTTCCATCACTTCACCGACTTACGGCAGCACATCGAGGTGGAGCTTCGCGAAGCGACCATCGGGGACCAGGGCGTCGTGGAGTGCTGCAGGTGCCGACAGCACGTGCATTATTTAGGCGATTGTATTTCGATGTAATTATATAAGAGGTTCTTGGGACCTCCACTGCTTCTTAGCATCTCGAGTAACATTGAGGAGCGACTAGCAATAACATACAGCTGCTGGCTGCTAAAGGCTTCAGATGTTGCAGGCCGGCACTGGGAACCAAAAACAACAAATATATATATATATATATATAGTGATAGAGAATATCAAAGGTGTGGCATTCATTCTGCTATGTGCATTGGTTGTTTGGGATCTTTGTCCATCAGGCTGGAGAACAAGATTGTGGACGTCCAAAGAGAACTGGCCAGTTCATTGCTCCTAGGCGAGCATGCACTAGAATTGGCGGAAAAGGCAGGAGTCGGCCTGCGTGCCAATGGCATCCCTGAACCACCCAATCCATGGGAGGGCCTGACACTGCAACTTGGCTACAGCCTGGGGGGAGTACATCAGACAGGGCTTTTCTTGGTTACTTGATCCATGATGCAGTATGATGCATTATGATTCATTGTGCACTTGAAATTGATGGACATGCTAGAGACATTGTGATATCCTTCCGGAATCTTCCAGATCGTTCTTGAGTCCACGAAGGTCGGAGCCTCCTTGGGAAGCAAGCTTCTTGCGAGCCCTGCGAAAGCTGGAGCCCTTACGGCGGAATTTGCACCTTCGACGGCAAGGCACTGCCGTAACGGTTTCCTCCACCCCGATGAGGAGGCCGGGCCCATGGGAGTGGCACGATTGGATGACCGGACCTGAGAAAGATTGGCAATCATTCCTTGATGAGACAAGCAAGATACCATTTATACTTGTTTATAGATAAGCGGCTGGAGACGCCATTTTGATTTTTGAATCATATCAAACCGAATGTTTGTAGATTGGAGGTTGTCATGCCATCGCCAGACCCTGACAAGGATGACGAGAAAGAAGACAAAAACCCTGATGAGACCTGGCCAGTCTATTCCAGAAGAGGTTCTGGCACAGCTCTTGAATCGTCAATAGATGTGAAGTCAGTTGAATAGGTCATGCTAATTATTTGACCGCGAAGCTTGCACAATCTTGTACATAGAGCTCAGCCAGAAATTGGCCTGAGATCAAATCAAGCGGTTGGTGTCAAAACCCTCCTGCAATTCGCAGCACAACCAATCAATCCTACACCCATGCCCATCTAGTTTGCTCAGCAAAGTGGCAAAGTTATGTTGTTTAGGCCGTCGGGTTTGAAGCCAACTTGGGCCTTATTTTCTTGGACCGAGGGAATGCAGCGCATGTGAAACATGCTGGACCCATCACCTTCCCAGCGTTTGGCCGAATCCGGCGCCTGTGCTGGCAAGAAAAAAGAGGCGCCTCGGGTCGTGCCAATGACTCGGACTACCCTCGGAGCACCCGGAATGGACCGACTTGACACCTTAGCACTCCTATCCAAACGCCGCGACGCCGCGCTGCTTTCCAGCATGCTTATTTATTCAGGGTCCATCCATGACCTGCCTTACAAGAGCCCCCAAAGCTTACCAATGTCTGATGCCCTTGGTCACCATTTTACCAGTGAAAGAGTACTTTTCTGTCAGGCATCCCTTCAGCCGTTCAATCTTTGAATGTTGACTCTCGATATGGAAGTCCACTCGGCAAAAGACTAGTGAGTCCTGCCAAGAAAATCTTGCCCTTCAGGGGTTAGAGACAGGGAGATCCCACAAACAGCAGTGTTCCAGTGACAGAGTCCTGCAACATGCGGATGTTTCGTGACGTGAAACCCATCAAACAGAGGGGAAGAGTCCCCGGTGTCCAGCGGATGCGAGCCGCATGGGCCTTGGTCGCTCGCGGCCACGTGCCCTGGCTCTATCGAGTCAGCCGAGCACGAGCAACAATTGTCGTTAGAGCAGTAAGATTTCCACGGAGGTTTGATACCGAGTGTCAAAGGGGCTAATCACTTGGAGGATCTTGGAGGGGTTGGAGATTTCTCAGAGTGCGAGGACGACGTATGAAGAATCTTGTCAAGTGTGAAAGAAACACAAGATGTCAATGTGTCCAATGCGTTTTCCATGGCGCCCTTGCCAGCCTTGTTGTGTTGTGAACGGGAATGCTGAGTTCTTTCCATTTGAAAATGAGACCCTTTCCACAAGTTCTTCCTTGTTCAAATTCTTGCACACCCAACACATTCAGGATTCTAATTCAAATTTAATATTCATTATATACATATATACACATGATTCTAGCACCAAAGAAATCCAAAGAACCTGTCCCACGGCCGGATGCAAGGATATGACCCTCTGCCAGAGCGCCTGGATACTGTGGAGCCATTGCTGCGGGGCTTCTTCGAGGAGAGCGGGTGGATTGCTGGTTTCACCAGCGACCATGCCGGAAAATATAGGCCGTGTCGCAGATACCTGCGCATCTAAACATGCATTGGCGCCGTTCCCAACGCAGAACCTACTAAAGCAACAGGCTTGTTTGTTTTGGCTCCCTTGGTGCGTAACTCTTGCGCAAGCAAGCCACTCATGTTTGCTTGATCGTTGGAGTGCCCCTTTTGGGTTGGTTGCGCCACAGCTGAGAGAGGTGGAGGTACAGGGAGGCAGAGAGAAGGGGGGAAGCGTTTGTTTGTACATACGGCATACGGTAAATAGCTTGGTCCCAGAAGAACAGTGATTCACTTTTCTCAACTCTGGCAGCTTAACTGGCCCGTCAGGAGCTACATGCTCGCTGCGAAGAGGAGAAGTTGCAATATGCCGCACGCTCTGTGGACCTGGAAAGGCATTGTCCATATGCGTGCATCTTCTTCTTTTTGGGGTGACCCCCCCTCTCAATCAACCTTTACCCAATGTGAACTGGTGACATTTGTCTCCGATCTTTATCCAAATCTTCCTGTTCTTTTCCACAATGCTCAAGATCGTTTTGTGACAGTTGGGCACACAGCGCTTTCGCCTAGGCTCAAGCTGGTCAAAGACCTTCGCCTCAGAAGGTGAATTTCTGGGAAACACACATTGGGCTAGAGAACATCGAGTGTTGCTTGGCGGCAACGAGGGCAGAACAGCGGTTCAGCATGGTGCGCTAAGTTTGTGTGGGTTAGGGGCATTGGGGGCAGGACTGATATGCATTTGCACACACAGAAACCATATTTATGCATACAAGCTATGATCAGTAGAAGTTCTTTAGGAGGCTGAGCCACCTCTCAAGTGAAACATTCTCGATTACATGTGGTCATGGCCACATGGTCGGCGTGAAATCCGGAGAAGCTCATTCACGCCCTTACCGTGCTTGAGGTCATGCATCCAGATCGCGGCTTTTTCTGCAGAGTTTCGATGACTTCCGCAGTGGTCAGCATTTTTCTCAGGACATGCAGTGGTGGGTAAGATCCATGTGATGTGCAGGGCCCTTTGACAATTGCAGAGGGCAGATACTGCATGACGACTGCAGATACGGCAGTTGCAGATGGAGAGGTGTGGCACAAATTGCATTGCTGAGGTCCTGAACTGCCCCAAACGACGCTGCATGTGCCAATGTCTTGTGTCACCGGAAGTCATTAACACAGAGACCAATGATTCGTGAGTTAATCGGGACAGCGGTGAGGAGCAGCTCCGCTTCGCCGTGCTGGTGCAACACTTCGTCTCTCAGGCGAGCACGAGGATGTGAGTGACCAGTTCAGCCATCCCTTGTTCATTGTAGAAGACAGTGCTCACGTTCTTGCAAGGATAGCAGCGCAGTGTAGCAATCAAGGTATACCCTTGCTAGGGGTCCAGCAAGTTGGGAAGATGCGACGCCACTGGCTGGTTCCCTTCCCTCCTTCCCTGGAGCTTTCATGTCTTCACGCGTCTTCTGAACTTGCAGAACTGCCATTACCACATTGCGCATTCACAAATGTGCTTTCATGGGTTGGATGGTTTAACTATAGCTTATATAATCTTATATATATATATTGATTCATATAGATATTTGCAGAATTAATTGTATTTAATTGTATCCTCTATGTTGTGGGTTTCGGGTTGCAGAGGCCTTGTACAAGCATTCAATTCAGAGAAATTTCTTTCGTGATCATTTGTCAGGATACCATGGATGTCCGCCGGTTGCCAGAGAAGCGCATGCATGACGATGTCTTTGAAGGCCACCACCGAGCAGTGTGATCCAGAATTCCTTATGCCTGCACGTCTTTCAGAAATCACATTGCAGAAAATTGTTGTGCCGAAGGTTGCTGGATTGCGGGATAATAGCGTGCGTGTCGGGGTTGAAAGTGATCCGTTGCCCATGTGCTTCAGAAAACTGAAACCTGCTTTGTTTAGTTTCCACATCACCAGTGTGAGGAGCATCGTTTCAGAAAACGTGTCCGACCTTTTGTGTATTTTTGTGTTACTCATGACTTCGACGGTCTCCTCCCAGCAAGCATCTGAAAAAGACACACGACACACAGCATGACAACCCTGTCACAATACTAAGACCCACACCCGATACTACCTGGCTTCAGTACATTCCAATGGGAGTTAGGCCTGCTATAATTCTTTGGGCAAGGGCATTTCTATGAAACTCTAAAATCTTTTGGCCTTCAGGTATCCTGACCAGATCGGTGAATGCGCAGCTCATCACTGACGCCCACCGGGCGGAGTGGGCCATTGAGGGCAATGGATTCATTGTACCCAAGGCTGAGAGTGACGAGGAGCCCGGGCTGATGGGGGAGACCGGTTCCATGTCAGAACCCTTTGGTGTTGACGAGGGGCCTGCCGAATCTTGTGATTGCCAGACACATCCGATTTGTTGCAGTGGTTTCAGAGTAGATGGCACAATCCTCAAGATTAAATTTAGATTATGGGCTCCTTTTAGGGATTGTGTCTTTTCGTTTGTTCCCCATCCACTGTAGGTAGATCTAAGTTGTCAAATTGAGGAAAGCTGATGCGCAGAAATGAATACGTTGATTCGAACAGCTAAGTAAGAGCACCACGGGGCCGAGGCTTTACCGTCAGGACGTCACTGTAAGAGTCGCCGGGTCCGTGTTGACAGGTCACAAACCCTTGACTTAGAAATCCCATGGTTCTTGCAACTTTTACTGCTCCATGTTACGAAAGTGCAACACAGTCTTCAGGGATTCTGTAACATCCATTATATGCACAGTCTTCGTCAATTCTTCGAGTTTGTTTGTTCGAGCGACCCAGTAGTAGTAGTAGTAGTCGTAGTCGTAGTCGTAGTCGTCGTCGTCGTAGTAGTAGTAGTAGCATCACAGTGACCCATGGATGTCAGGAGAGGAAGCAGTTGATCGCCGATTTCGGCGCGGGGCTGGTGACCTGGATGGGGCTTCGTGACGGGCTGGCGAGGAAAGTCCAAATCAGAGAGAAACCGAATCAGAATCAACACAGCCAGTTCACTCCAGGGACCTTTGAGAGTCATTTCATGAGTAGGATGTAATGAAATTGTGGAAAAGGTCCAAATTGATCAATTTCAGTTCCACATTGAGTAAGTTTATAATGAAATTGTTGACATTATGAAATTGTGGTACAGATCTGCAATTCCAAGGCAAACCGGAGGCACATGAGGCAACCAAAATGATTCAATGGTTGTGTCGGCCTTTGTCCTACAAAGTGGTCCTGCTGACAACACATCAATAGACGGTTCAACATTTGGTAGTGGATTCTTTTGAGGATAGGGTCAGAGGGTCGGAGGGCCTTGGACCAGTGAAGCAGTTGGAATGAATGAAGACAATTGAGTTACACAGCTGCCGTAAGGTGACTGCCCTGGAGGAATTCCTGCTGAGCTTTTGTGAGCGGCGGCAGTTGTCAGTCAGAGGGACAGAGCATGTGATCCAGGCGGTGACCACACAGATGTCGTTCCTGAGCCAAGAGAATAGATCCAGAAATGTCCCAGGGTTGGTGGAGGAGGAACACCGCGGTTGCGCCAATGGGGCACAGCAGATGTTTCGACCGGTGTTTCAGACAAAAATGGTGCTTTGGCCACCAGCTGCCTAACAGTGACACCGACACTTGAGGCAGTGCGGCTTGGCGAATCTCGACCGATGTTCTCGAGTAGGCGGGCTGCTTGAGATGAAAGCCAGGCCACAAAGATGTTCAAAGGAGTCTTGGTGCTTGTACGTGAGGTCAAGGTGGGTGTTTGACATTGCTTTCATATCTCCTAATTGGCTCTCACGGGTTTACCGGTGTGCTCTAAATACGTCGGGCACACTTTGTTCAGGTCAGTACATGGTGGGCGGCGCACGCCTCAAGCAGCATGTGAATTACAACATTTCATGCACCTTGGCAATCCTTGGCACGTTGGTTTCGTCAGCACTTCGGTGGGATCACGGACCGAGCAATGCCCCGCACGTGGAGATGCAACAGTTGGCATTGGATACACTCTGTCGATGGCGCCGGCAGATCTTTCCATCACGGGATGTGATGTTACACTCGAGATCGAACTGGCCAGATTCATTACATGTCCCATGGCCTTTCGCGTCAGAACAAAGTCTTTTCAACTTGCGGTGGCTTGGCCTTTATCCCAGTCCTCGACGCTGGAGTCGGTTGGTTCCTACCCGCACGTCAAATCAAGACTAGAGGAGACCAAGCAGCGGGCAACATTCTTCCATTCTTTCATCGCCAGTATGCCAAAAACTTAAATAAATCCTAAGAATAAGTAAAGCCGCAGCCCTGTTCGTGGCGTTGACTTCTTGGCATTCCGGCAAGGGTCTTTACTCAAAGCCTGAAGGAACACGTAGAGCTTTCAGGAGGCCAATTCAAATACAAGGACTGGTTGTAGACCGGGGAGCCTTATGGGCACAACTCCGCTTCTATCCGGCAGGAGATTGTAGCCAGTTGCTACTCATGTGTTACACATCTTTACTTCGGTCGGGCGCGTTTGGAAGAATGCAGACGCGTTTGTAAGCACACGCTGCTAGAGAAAGGTTTTTGGACCAATGCAACCAGAGGCTGTGAGGCTTCTTTCTCTTTCCTGAGGCATGGATGCTGGACCTTTGGGAGATGCATTGACACAGGGTATGCACTCATTAGCAACAGTGGCGGGGTCAGAAGGGCGTGCCAGTGCAGAGGCTTTCACTTGCTGTGTCATGTCCTGACAATAATGCCACCTGCACAGAAGGTTAAGGTCTTCATGTTCGGTATGACTAGACATCAAGGCCGTGGGAGAAAGAGAGAGAGAGAGAGAGAAAAGATGCCCTTCGACTGTCAGCCTTCCCAAGCTAAGAACCCGCAAATCTGGATTGATAGATCCAATCAGATCCGGTCGCCTAGGCCTACACAACATGTTGGTCACCGTAGGCCACTCATGCTTTTCAACCCTTATCATATGCTTCACCCGTGAAATTGAATATGAGTGAACCGTGTTCGCCGTGCCTAGGAAGCTTACTTTGGGGTGTTTGAAGGAGGGCTTTGACTTTTTCCAGCCTCTTGGCAGATCAAAACAATGCTTTTTGTCTTTTGGTAAATGGTGCTCATCTCTCATGTGATTCAACTTGGACCACTGCAGAGGCCCACAACTGGAACTTCAGAGGATGACTCTCCGCACTGCACCTCACCTGCACCTTCTGAGTCAAGAGGGTAAAGGTTCCCTCACATGAACCGTGCCATGCCACTTACGTAGCACAAGTACCAACGACATCCTGACAAAACGTGATTCGAAGACCCGTTGAAACATCTTGAAACCTATTCCTGAAATATATGGGATGCGTTTCGATGCATTTCTAAGCACTTCATGCACACTCGTATAAGTAGTTTCAACTTGGTCCGATTGCACGTGTAAATATGTTCGTCTTTTTTGTATGTTCGTGTCGGTGTGTTTGTGTGTTTTGTTCATTGTTTTTCTGCATGCAAATTCATGCCCTGCCTGGCCAATGAACAGGTGGCCAGGTTGCTTTGGTGCCCTTGAGGTTGTGACCCCAACTCTCGAATGTATCAATGTGCAACACTACGCTTTACTACAAAGCTTGGCCTAGATGCTTGGCAGGTTAGATGCACTGTATACTAAACCCACAGACCAGCATGAGGCCAATTCAGCAGTTCAACTGCTCTGGAACTTCTTGAGTGACTTCCCTCAGACTGTTGGTTGAGACAACCTTTGTGGTGCTACCGGCCAAGGAAACACCAACTGGTGAAGACGAAGTATCATGTGACGTGCTCGATGTCTACGACGAAGTGCGAATCTGTGACCCTCAGACAATGTAGGCAGTGCTTTCAGATGCTACGGTGGGGAAGAGCGAAGGATGCATTAAACGAAAGCGCCCATCCTTTTGTAAAGAAGATGTAAAACTGAAAGCACTGACGCGAGGCCTAGTAGAAGCTCACCCGCATAACGTGCGTGGGTCAAGCAGCCTTTGCGGAAAAGGGGTTCATGCTACTGCCTTACATAAATGTTACGCTTCTTGTGCACTGGCCGACGGACACAAATATTCCTTGCGGTATATAAGGTAAAAGGTGCATGTTTCTGTACGGGTGGAGCTCCTGTGACAAAAGAAAACAAGAAAGGCAGCTACAAAAGATACCAAAAGATGTTTAATGCATTGAGGTCATAGGGCACAACATCCGCTTATTTCTTGGTAGAATTGGGAACATCAAAACGCAGAAGGAAATGACCCGCATCAGGCCAAGCTCGAGCATGTCATTATTTTTCTTTGGGACCGTCGTGCGAAATTGATAAGGTTCTCCTGTCAAGATAAGGGCACATGGCGTCCTGCACAATGAAGCCAATGCAACAAACATCCGTCGACAGGTGGGTATCAAGCACTCACCGGACCGAAGGCTTGGAACATATGATTTGATGGAATGCAATTCTTGATCATGAACCTTCATTTCAATAATATGTGAAATCTGAAACCATCAGGTTGAAAAATGCTCACAAATCAAATACCTTGATAGTTTGGATTAAAAAATCATATGAAATAATAATATATTATATTGATATATATATATGGGAAAATATAACAATTTATATTATTTTATATATAAAATTGTATGATTTAAGAATATATTTGATATTAATATATATATATATATTATTGTCATTGCTAATATATATTTTGGATCTATTGATTTATATATTAATAAAAATTATTAAATTAATTATATAATAAATAATAATAGCAATAGAATAGAATTAATAGATATATATTGGAATGAATAAATTGAATAATTATATGCAAATATAATTGGATAAAAATTTTGCATTTTAAAAATTATCTCGGCAAGAGACCCTAAACAGTGTGTGTGAGGTTTGAAAGCAGAAAGTCTAGAGATTTAGACGCATTGGGGTCTGAAGAGGTGATGGTGGTGATGAAGGTGGGGATCGTGGTGACGGTCCCGGTGGTGGTGAGTGAGTTAGTGAGTGAGTGTAAGTTGAGGGAGAGTGAGGGTGAGAGTGGGAAAGATAGTGCGAGTGTGAGGGAGAATGAATGGGAGGAACGTGAATTGGAATGGAAATGGGAGAATGAATGAATGAAAATGAATATTAAAAAAATAAATTATTATATAAATATTGAAAAATGATGATATTTATTTACATCAAAAATTCTAAATCGAATATGATATAATATATGGATTATAAAGTGTAATATGTATTACGGAATATATTTGTTTTATGAAAAATCGATTTTGGATTATAATAATATTGTTTTTATTTTATTTTTGAAATGAAAAATATATATTATGCGCGAAAATACGTACGGCGTCATTATAATAATAAAAATATTAGAAGCACGGCAGATTTTGCGATCGAAATATATATGCACGATTTCGAGGAATATGAATATATTTTGAATAGCAACGATTTAGCCGTTTACGTCCGTATATTTTAACGATCTAAGCATTAATTGTTTTATTCTTACCATACGAATCTCCTTAATATATCCCTATTTTTTGATAAATTATATTATTAATATATATATATTATAGAAAAATATTTATATATATAATATATATATTTAATTTTATTATATAATTTATATATATATATATTTTTTTTTTTTTTTTTCATAAGGAAAATTCGATTAATTTCTTATTATAATAAGGAAATATATCTATTTATTATTGAAGATAGGAAGCAATATAAAATTTGAATATTTTGTATGAATGCATAAAATTATTAGCAAATTAAATCTGTGGAATTAAAGATTTGTAAATTAACAACAATATGTTTAATAAATATCTATATGGGATTGGAATAGGAATATAAAGTGGCCGCGATAGTGTTGCACAGTTGTTTGTAGTTGTGTGTTTTGTTGATTTTATATTGTTATATTGTGGATTCTGGGTTTGGGATTGTAATGATTATATAATTGCGATTATGATATATATTTTTTGTTTTTTATATTTTATATAATTTATTAAAATTCGAATATATAATAAATGAATAAAAGATGAGGAATAATATTATATAAATAAATATAATATATTTTTTAAAAATAGATTTCGAATAAAGATATATGTAGATATATGTTTATGAATATAAAAGAATATTAATCTAAATATTTATTATATTTAATATATATATAAATATATATATAATCATTATTTATTTATCTTTAGATATAGAAAAAATAAAAATATTTATAATAAATGAATAATTCTTAAATATTGATCTATTTTATTAATTTCTATAATATATATATATAAATGTTTAATATAATAAATATGTTTCAATTTGATAATTTTAGCAATTTTAATATTATATATTTATATATAGAATGTTTAAATTTATTATTTATATATTAATAGACGGTCATTCTTGCTCGTTCTCTTCTGATTTTTGAAGCATTGCATCGAAATTAGGTCTATAATTTGGCCAACCTGGGTAGCGGCCGTGGAATATATATTCTTTGCGCACAATAATGTGCACATGTCCGGACTCATTTTTGGGTCAGACCTACGATATCTCCCATTTTCCGGTCATACCTACCATGATTCGATCATGGGCCTCAGGACAATGACCATGAGCAGCACTATTGATGTGGCATGAATTGCCTGAGCCGCCCAATTTTGCCACAAGAATGGCCGTCAGGATCTCTTCAATCGCTGGGAGATGGCATTGGCGAGGGGTGAGCGTTGCAAATTCGTCAAGCGAACCCTCAGGAGCACAAGTTGCGTGATGCCATTGCCAGACAATTTTTGGAGCAGTTGGTACATCTCTGATGCTTCCGGACTCCTCAAGTTGAAATCGAGTCTCCATAAATTGCTGTCATTGCATCCTGAGGCAGGTTCTCCTGATTGACCGTGCGCAAAGCGGAGAATTTGTGAAACACCGAAGGTTGCTGTCCAAGATGCGCAATTCTTTCGAGAAGGGAACGGATTTCCTCCGAGGTCAATGGCGGAAGTTGATTGCGGAAGTTGATTGGGCTTGAGCATCATTACCTGGTGGTCCTAGGTGAGGTAGGCCCACTTGTGCTCCTCGGTCAGGAAGCAAAGCTAACATGGTATCATGCCACGATTTACAAAGCTATTTCATCATTTTGATGTGCCACGCTCTTGTCTGCCGCAGGATCTCATTTTCCACTTCATTGCTTATCTCCACGAGCTGAACCCGCTCACATGGGCCAGGCACTCAATGGACAGCACTCCGGGTTCTGTTGCTTCTACCACGAAGTCTGAAGCTGTGGCAGATCAATTGATTGATCTGAATTGTACCCTGCACCTGATAGAGCACACGTTGGCCCAAGATTGGCAGTTGTGGTGCATTAGCAAAGGATTTGATGGAAGAGGAGATGCTGGTCGATGATGAATCAGCTCAAAGTGTTGATCCATGAGCAAAGCAAGACAGGGCAGGAGGCCCTCTGAAAATGCGTACAAAGTGCAATCTCCATCGTGAACTGCGCATGGTAATATTTGCATGCAAGGTGTTTCTGGTGCATGTCCCGAATTGGGTCGAAGGGGAAATCATCAGGTTTGGGAACATCATTAATTTTTCTCAAATGGTTGACCAATGCTTTACGATCCACGTATTCTTGGCACAAAGGACATTGATACATCTTGGCAGACTCCGGACATGGCCCAATGGGTTGGGAGGCCAGCAAATGTTTCATTGTGATCTTGGCAGCTTTCGAATCCGATCGCGGCGGGGATGGGTCAAACTTGGATTCTAACCCTTCTGAAGTTGCATGTTGAGGGAATTTTAGGTGATGTGAGATCAAATCAATCTCTGTCAAGAAGGTCGTGTGACAGGCGTGACACTTGCACAACTTGGTCGACCGAATCGGTGCCGTGGACATTGCATTGGTATCATCAATATCCACAGGCAATGGTTGAGGATCAACCGCATCTGCAATAATATTCTCTTCAATTTGAGCATCCATCATATCACGCAAGGTTGCCTGCAGGCAACGGTCGAATCATCGATGACATAATCAAGAAATGGTAGATATCATATATCTGACCAAATAAAATTGCATATCATTGCATTACCCATAACAATAATTCAATATTTTATTAAATAATTGTTTTCTTTTATTTTCCTCTGTTTTGCCCATATATCTTTTCAATATTTAATATATATATATATATATTCAATATATCGAATTAAAAAAAATCAATATTATCCAATATATAATTCGAAGAAATTATTTAAATTATATTATAAATTATGTATATTGTATATATATAATATATCGAAATAAATCCTTTGTATAAAAATATGGTATCCCCCCAAATATTATAAATTATTTTCACCTCACTTTTGTTGGTATTTGCAATATTTTGTGTCTATTTTTGGTTGCCTTTTGGTCCTTAGTTTTTTTGGGAATACCATATATATATATATTTGTTTTTTTGTGCACGTAGATTGCATGACTTGTTTATCCACTTTGGAAGGAATGCATTCAGAATGCGTTCAGTGCATTCAGAATGCATTCTTGATCAACAACAAAATCCAAGATCCAAGATTCCCACAAGATTCCTGGCTAAAATCTTGGAAATACCAAGATCCAAGATCCAAGATTCCCACAAGATTCCTGGATAAAATCTTGGAAATACCAAGATCCAAGATCCAAGATTCCCACAAGACTCCTGGCTAAAATCTTGGAAATACCAAGATCCAAGATTTGCACAGAAATCTTGTGGAAAATCTTGGGTTTGGGAATATCCTGTCCAATATCAAGATCCAAGATTTTAGCCATATATATATATATATGGTACCCCAAAAAAACTAAGGACCAAAAGGCAACCAAAAATAGACACAAATTATTGCAAATACCAGCAAAAGTGAGGTGAACATAGGTTTTGGGGGGCGGGAATTCTAATTTGAATATGTAATATAATTCTATTTTAAACCTAAATTTAACCTAATTGAATTCTAATTTAAGTCTATTTAGTTTAACTTCATTGTATAGACACATTCTAATTCAATTTTTATTCTAATTTATTCATTTCTATTTTAATTCTAATTATGTCTGGTTATTTTAGATCTAATGGAATTCAAATTTGAATCTAAATTTGAATCTGCAATGTGCTTCTAATTCAAACAGAAATTGATCCTAATTGAATTTTATATAATGAAATCAAATTGAAATTGCAAATTAGATCTAGTTCAATTCTAATTGAATTTAAATTCCAATTTAATTCTAAGTCAATATTGTTATATTAATCAAATTCTAGGTAGAACAATTCTAATTCAATTCTTCCTTAATTCTAAGTCAATTTCAATTTAAATGATGGATTATTATTCAATGGTTTTTTTTTTTTTTCAATTCCAATTTAATATTAATCTATTTCAAATTTAATTCTATTTCATTCTATTTTTGGTTCAATTATAATTTTAATTCTTCTAATTTATTAATAATTAATTTCTAATGTTAATGCCTTTATACGATTCAGATTTAATTATTTTACACATCTAATTTTATATTATTGTTATTATAAATTAGGTTTGGTTTCTATATGTTTAATTTCATCCTTCTTTGATTTTAGTTCAATGCACATGGAATTTTAATTTAATTTTGGTGTCATTCTAGAGAGTAAATGTTATTAGGGGG